CTTACCCGGAACAATTTGTTATGCTGAATCCGAAAATCCACACTGGAGAGGGCGAAAACGGCGGAAAATGGCTCTAACGCAGGAGGGAAATCAGAAGTGGGCGGGGTCTTCCCCTCTGTGAGTTTACGGTCCCAGCTTCTGGAGCGACCTTCTCGGTTCCGATTTCAAGCACGCATTCGCATGTGCCCTGTGGAGATGTCAGAGCGACTAGCGAAATTGAGAAGATCGCTTCCGAAGCCGGGAGCGTGAATCCACAGTGGGGAAAACTCCGCCCACTTCTGTTTCCTTCCTGCGTTAGGGCCCTTTTTCGCCGTTTTCGCGCTCTCCAGTGTGGATTTTTAGGATCCAGCATAGGCAATACCTGGTGAGCACAAAATCTCAAAATCGACATTTTGCCCGGACACTGCCTTTAAGTGCATCTGGCTTACACATACATTACGAATTCGACAGATTTAAACATACTGAAGACACTTAAATTGCGAAACACGTGACAGGGCCATGACAGCGCCAGTCCAGCGCCTTGTTAGCCGTCGTGGTAATTATTTTGAATGGAGTGCGCGTACACAAGCTTTCCGGCAAGTGGCTGGCACGGCACTGGCACATGGTCAGCTCTGTAGGCTGCCTCATGTCCCAAGCCCAATCATTTGTATTATTTCAATTTCAAAAAATATAATTTTCCAAAAAACACCCGTAAATCAAATTAAGAAAGTCAAATAAAGTTCGCTAATGCCCAGGCTGTCGAACTACCGGCACAGCATGCGCTGGTGGTTCTGCATATGTCCAGTGTAAAAATCCAACGAAGTTGATACCAAGCGATACGAAAAGGAATACGATCAAAAATAGTAAGAATGTGCAGCGTTCTATCACTGTGGCCAGCCAATCGTATTCGATTTTTGCTAGGTATCGACCGGATCTGAAACAGAGATAATTATAGCGATGTGTGCTAAAATTTTAAGTTAAAATGTCGTAGGAGGTTGAACTTCCTTTATACAGAAGCTGCGGCATTAGCCCAGGATTCACAGTGTGACAAGGAGAAAAAGCAAATGAAGTTGAAAATACTCATGTGGAATAGCTGAGCAAGTCCGCTTAGAGGAATTTATCCGCCTTGCATCAACCTTTATATGAATCTAATTTTTTCCTACGCTCTTTTGCTACGCGAAAGAAATATAAGAAACACTCCAAAAGTTCGGGCTATAGACAGGAAAGCGCGCGAGTTGAGGCAAGTTGAACCGCGCAAGTTGAACCATACGTGCACCTGATGCCCAAAGGGTTACTGATTACCACTTTCGCGCAGGGCTATGAACACAGCAGACAAAGTAAACAAAAAGATTCGACTACTGGTTTTAGCTATGTACTAGGTCTAACGTTTATATATTTATAATAATGTTATGAATATCATGACGAATACACGTACCGAAATGTAGCGTTACAAGCGATACCCTGGTTAGGCATGATAAAGAGCTCTTACCTTTCGGATTTGTCGTCAATACTAGAATCAGTTAACGATTGCAGACGTTTCTTGGAGCGCCTAGAAGCACATTATTTACAAAATGGACAAACTAAAGATTCCAGTAACAGCTTGCTTACGGTGTAAGTGGATCACTGCTACAGCTAGACGGATTGCCTGGAAACATTGTATTAGGCTGGTCAAAAGTTAACCCGCTTATCAAATGAACTAGACCGTTTCTTTCCTAGCAGACTGAGTACATGTTGGGAAAATTTTATCACATGAAAATTGGTATTTGGGGGAAAGACCTGAGGTCCAAATTGGTCGTCAAATAGAAGATACATGATAGTATTCATAAATGCGTTTTAAGTATTCTCGCACTTGGAAATCGAAGAAAGAAAGTGTTGAAATTAGCAGGGTCCGCCCTCAACTCCTCCCACAGATGTGGTTGTATACTGCAAGCCTTAGTATAATCCAAAATCATACCTTTGTACGTGGTTTGATGATTGAAAATTACCAAGTTGAACATTGATAAAAACGAGAAAAGTAAATTTTTTTTCCATTTTTGTGCTATTTTTTGTCTAATTTTAGGCGCAAAAATAATCCAGCAAACTTATTCATGAGTCAAATGCTAATATGTGTTCACTGTATATGACCAAGTGAGATGTCTGCAGAAGCTTTTTGGAAAGAGGTCCGATTCTAAAGGCGATTGAAAAATCAATTTTTGACGAAAATCACCTGAATCACGACTTAAGTGGATCTTCAATGCTCATTCCGTAAGCGTGTTTTGCTCTATCGATTAATAGCACTACCCCAAACACCCACAGTATCCCAAATCTGCTAGGAACAATTTGATTAGTTTGGAGTAGGAGGTCGCTTTTGGGACAACCTACATCTTTTCTATGAGCGTAATATTGTCGAACGATTTCTGCTAGACCCTATTTTTATTTTTAAAAAGTGCCAGAGCTCCCGAATTCTCATGCTTGATACTCCAAGGATGACAGAAGCTGCTATTGATGTCGCAAATGCACCATATCCAGCAACTCTCGCGTTTTGTAGAGGTAGTGAAGTTCCACTTTTCTCTGCTTCTACTTGTGCACTTTTCTTTCACTATATAATTTTCTGGGAATTTATCTTGGACTGTGTTCTCATTAACGCATCCTACTGGAGCAAGTTTCTCAAACGAGAGGTGAAAAATAACGAAAATTTATAAAATTTTCGAAATTTTCTGTTTATGTGCATGGTGTGGAAGTAGAGGAATCTGAGAACGAGTTTTGGATTTTTCAAGGAGTCTAGGCGTATATTGAAGTTTATCCTTCAGTTGCAAGCTTTGGACATAAGTTATTTTGTCTTTGATCTTATCATTCAACAAAATGCGACAAAATTAACAATCAATTCCCAATAAGGTGTGGAATGCCAACTCACCTCCATTAGCGCAGCCATTCTGTACAGTTATTCCATGAATGTGAGGGTGTGCTTGGACCTAAATGACTCCTTTACTGTCAATCGCAGCCGTCGTGTGTGGTGAAAAGCGTAAATGCTGGACATAGAAAATATAGGCTGCTGCATGACTAAGGCAGAATATCCTTAGGCGCGACCGCGCCTTTATTAGCCGCAGAGCACATGAGACAAGGTTTGTAATATGCGCACGCGCCACGTTCGCTCCCGCTCAGCTAATACGGTTTCCACGTCTTCATCATGCAGTAGCCTTTACATACTGCGTGTCACATCAATCATGTTCAAGTGTATTGAACTTCCTTGGCGAATGGGACAAAATTATTTATCAGAGAATTGAACATTCCTCTACCTTATGGTGGTGCCTATCCTTCTGCGAGGATTGCTTGTAAAATTCTCAGGTCTAGACTGCGCTTCGGATTTTTCGTAGTCAAAGCGACATTCAGCAAAAGGAAAGAAATAGAGAGACTTCGAAGATTTAATTTCAGAAATCGTTACTTAAGCAGAAATCTCTAGAAAAGCTGCGTTACTGATGTCTCTCTAAAGTTGTTTTAAGTGATTACTATAAGCAACTAATCAAAAAAAATCTTCACCGTCATACTTGTGATGTCAGTTTATAGCCTAATGGGTTATTTCGGGACGCTAATGTACAATCTGTGTCATTTAGGTGCTCCTTTCTACATACGGATTACGCATCCGCAACGAAAGGACCTTGCGTGCGAATCTCTAATCGTGTTGCAGCACAGAACTTTCAAATCTTTCGTTTATTTGCGCATATGAACAAGGTAATATGTCATAGTATGGTAGCGTAACCTCTTCTTGAGTGTCAAACCCTACCACACCACCATGTTGCTTCTATACCATATGGCAAACCATATGGCTTCCAAAAATGCTGCTGCGATCGCTTCGAACAAGGCAATATTTCCACGCGGCTTGGTGGAAATAACGTCTTGTAGAGGCGCTCACAACATCGCCAGTGTCAACCGCAGTTCAAGTTTTGCGGCCGAAGTCCCTTGCGTGATACGGCGTGTAGCTTACAAGTTCGTCGATTAACTTTCTTTCATATATTAACACGATTTTGCATGTTAATGAAGTCATACGACACAGCACGCACTAACGTGTTTTTCACATATTGCAAATGGTCGATGAAGATACTGGACTCCTCATTATTGACTTTTTGAAGGTTCTCTATAGAACTTAATTGCATCTAACGGAGGAGGTGGGGGGGGGGTTGGAGGAAGGGGGAGGGGCGGGGTGTTTCGTACTGCAGTCGCTGCAGCAGCGACAGTCGATCGATCGATTTATTTCGCCCGCCCCAATATGACTGCAGCCGCTGCAGCGACTGCAGTGTGAAACAACCCGAGGGGGGGGGGAAGACGCATGTTTAGAAAAAGCGTGACAATAGGCAATCTGATTGGTTGTCTGGCTGGAATAATCGCTAATTAAATTGCTAATCGAATTTGACAAGCAGTATGTACCTTTTGTTGTGTATAGCCCGATAGATTCGGCGACCAATATACACGGCTTCCCATCCTAGGTGTCGCAGTTGGCGCGGCTCGGATCCTCGCGAGCTGTCTTGCTTGGGCCTCTCGTCGCGTTCGCGAACATGTCTCGGGGAACCTTACATACGAAATTTCCCACGCCTGATGCGTAGGAGGTACTATCATTAGGCGTCGGCTGATGAGCTTGAAAAAAATGCCTCGAGACACGTTACGTTAGTGAACGCGTTGGAAGGCCCAAGCGAGACGGCTCGCGGGGACGCGGGCCGCGCAGCCCGCGACACTCAGAATGTGATCGCTATAGTAATGCTGAAGAATTGCGCAAAAAATGGCCATAAAACACACATTTCCAAGTTCTGCAACCCATGGTCATTTTTCACGCGCAAATGTTGTTGGCAGTGCAAGAGTGCTATGCTATACGCCGAAATCTATCAGACTGTACAAAATGTTAGTTGATGCAAAGGTAACTAGCGTCATTTAGTTATTATTAATTCCATGCTCATTTTTCAATAGCTCATTATTACTTTTGCATCAACCTAGATATCTCTGCTAGATATCGCGAATAAAGTGCAAGTTCGGTGCAAAAAGCAACACATAAACTAAACGATAGTAGAAAATTTTAAGAATGAAATTAACTGAACAACGTGTTGAAGAAGTGCTAGTGGCTCGACATTTGCAGATCTGCTGAGATAAATACTCACGTAAGGTGACCAATGCGGATATGCTGGAATCTGAAAACAGAGGAAGCGATAAGGAGGAACAGAAAATTAGAAGTTTCTACGAAAAGGTTTACTTGTTTTCTCAACAAGTTAGAAAAGCCTTTGAGATTTCTTGAAGTGCGAAGAGAAACATGAACTCAAAGTCTTACTTCCGTTCCGGCAGTAATGATATATTTTGCAAACTTCGCTATGGTGCTTGTGTAATCCTCCATAGTTTTTGCTCTGGCTTGGCTCTGTAAAAAATGGTCATGGAGTGAACATGGAAAAAATGAGAAAGCAGGAAGATTTGAAAAGTCTTTCTAGCCCCCCCCCCTTTTCATATGTTAACTCTATAGAATGAAACTGCCTTAAAAGCAGTATCCTGGCAAAATGAGGGCTTTGGGATTTCAGTGCCATGCGAGAGCGTCCCCCCTCAGACACAACATCGCGCAAGGGCGACATCATAACGCTCGACCTAAAGCAAGAAAAACGACCGGAAATTGGGGAAACTTACGCCTTGGGGCGGGGTCCTCCGACCTGTCCGAATTCGTGCTATGCCGCAGAATACGCATGCCGCCACAGTTGAAATGCAGGGTCCCGCAGCGACTCTGCGTCTCTGCCTGGTTGGGACCGTCGAATTTCAAATTATGCGGCTTTGGAAAACGTATGTTCTTGCCGTTTTCGCGCCTTCTAATGTGGATTTTCAGATTCAGCGTTGCGAATAACCCCTAATTGGATTTTCTAGAAATCGAGTTTTTGCCCGGACACTGCCTTTGAATTTTTCCAAGCAGATTAATAAACTATGCTATAGCCGATTTCTATTCGGCATCGACTCGACCGAATGCAGCGACTAATCATTTTATGCCTTTTCTGAGAAAATTTCTGGCACGGCGCCGAAACCGAGCTGGAACTGCGCTGGAATGGCGCTGGAACGGCGTCGGCGCGATTAGCTCTTGACGCACCCTTATTTGGCGTCACTTCTAGCTTTTTTCTACGATACTGGGATTTTCTTGCTCGCAAATATTGAATGATTGACTCACCTCCTTCACAAGATGTAATGGTATCCTGGTAAGAGACATATAACTGAAGGGTTTGACAATATTTACAGCTTTTCTTGGCAGTCGTTCACCCAGAAGACCAAATTTTTGCACACTAAATATGTGTGAAAAAATATTATGTCATTAGATCGATAGCTAGCTCACCTGATAACGAACGATGCCGCCAATGCGCCAACAGAGATTATTATTATTGCGCACATATAGAACCAACCTAAAAATTAAATGGTCATTACCTGAAAAACGGAACAACGACTGGTAGGAGAATGGTTTGGGCAAAGTAGAAGAAGAGTTAGTAGGCTTGCGAAGACATCTGTTACAAATCGTGTATCGCACTACATTACAGCAAGTACCAGTCGCCCGCGCAGGTGAACCTCTCAGCACCATAAGGTCCCCTTCGGAGAGAAACTCTTACTCTAGCCATAAAAAAGGCAGAAAATTCCGAAAAGCTTCGAAACGACGGAGATTATATTTAAAGCATCAAAAACTTTGTAACTAGAGGATATTAAAATATTTGAACTTGTCAATGTTAACCATTGTATAAGTGTATACAATATAGGCAGCTTACTTATCAGCGGTATGAACGTGCTAGTTGATGGCATTTGATCAGAAACCATTAACATCAGAATGGACATCGACAGCAGAGTTGTAATGCACAGCGATATTTTTTCTTCTCTAACTCCTGTCGTTGAACTGTAAAACACTTTGCAATCGATGCGATAAGGTGCTCTACAAGTAAACTAGGTCTCAAAGACACCGTTCAGCCAGAATGAGGTGGTAGGGTTTTAATTGATAAATAATAACGGAGCTTTAACTAACTGTAATCGCCGAAGTGCAAAAGATGGATTTCGAAGTGAGAAAATCGTTCTAGGAGGTAGAAGCGGCCATGGTGGCTCCGCCCATTAGCGTGGGTGTCTGAAGATAGTGAGCTAAAAGCGGGCTCCAGGGTGAACAGAAATTTTCGAAAGTCTGGTAATTATAATGAAGGGCTACTTTATAACAACTCTAGATACGTTAATGCCCGATTTTAGAATTTCTCTTTAGACCTGCCACAATGATGGGCGGAGTTTTTACCTTCTGGAGCGATTATCTCTCTTCGCAATTCATCTTGTTCAGCGGGACTTGGGCATTTACTTAGTTAGGGGGAGGAGCTATCATACATGCAACGTCAAAATCTCAGCAACATCAATTTGACTGGACATTGCCTTTGAGTGAAAAAATGTGGAATAGGTACCTTGTTGTGAAAAAACCTGTGATTGCAATCAAGGTGATGATGAAAGTTGGGATGACAAGGTTGACAACGTAAAACAGTGGTCGGCGCCTGCGATAGGGATTTATTGCACGAAAGTAACGGGAATCATTTTTTTTTCAGACCTCAAATAAAGACTGAAGTTCAGCAGCGTATAGTTATTAGGACAGCAGACGTAATGGACTTCATTGCGTATGCCTAAAAAATCGTGGAAGTAGGATAGATTTGAAAATGAAAATAAATGGAAAATCACATAACAGTTATATTAAATAACTAATAAATTAATAATAAAAATCGGAATAAATGTAGTTGTGACATTAACGATTTTTAACTGAAAGTCAGGTGTTTTCCACTAATTTTTTAATCGAGGGAAATTGTGTAGAGAAAAATTTAACTACCAGTTATCTTACAACTTGATGTGTGCAAGTACACACATCGTCCACGTTGTGCGTAAGGTATAAAGCTCTTGGAGCAACGCATTTCTTACGAGTGTCTGTTTTTTGCGCCTTTGACTTCTTGACCTTCAAAATTCAAAATAATTTTCAGTGAAGATCTTCGAGAACATATGTGCAGAAAGGCCAATAATGCGCACGATGACATCCGTCGATCCAGAATCTTACGCGCAATATAGACGGCGTGTGCTTTGCACAAAGTTATGATTTGACTTGACTATGTACAAAGCATCCTGCTATACTATCAGAACACTAATGATTTTACTCCTTTTTTGTTCATTTTCCTCTACAACATTGCAAGCAATTTTCGCATACCTGCAGTCCCCAGCAAGCTCCATCCCTCACTCTCAAGAAAATTTGTCGTTCCAACGGCATTTTCCAGTGTACGATAGTCAATATCATGATTGTCCGATGTCCAGCTTCCGAACAACATATGGCATTCTTGTGAGTCGAATGGAAAGAACTAAAAGCAACATCTGTTTGTAATGAGATCCACTTGAACGGACTCTATAACCTGTAAATAAAGCCTGCAGTGGAATTTGTAAATGGCTGGATAGAGGAACTCCACATACGATCGACGTTTCTCGTATTCAGTGGTAATTTTTGCATAAAGAAGACGTCGTTGTTCGTCATCTTTCATCACTAGCCTAAATGAATCATTCTTATGCACAACGACTGCTTTTTAGGGTACGTCCAAATTTGCCCAGTGCCGGCGCCGTTCCAGCGCCGTATTAGCGCCGTATCGGAACCTAGATAGGTGGGTATTGATCGTAGCTAATATGGCTTGGAACGGCGCTGGGGCGGGAACTCTATATGCAGTCCTAGCGCAAATTCCACAAAACTTGATGGCGAGAAAAAATCACAGGAGGCTAGAGACATGTATACTTTTGGCTCTTATTTTCGATGTGGTCCATTTGTTGTCATTCTGAATAAAAACCAACAAGATATGTTACGGAGATTCTTTAAGACTTCCGACTTATGTCCGTAACATTTTATCTGTTACATTTTCGCAGCAATTTTATATGAGCGGCTCTGCTCTACTTTCCAAAATGTAAACTCACGTATTGTAAAGTGTTGTGTCGGGTATCCAGATAAGATTATGTTGCATTTTGACTTCAGTAATATTGTCGTAATTGGCTGGATTCCAGTAAAGGAGCTCATCATACCATCGTTCGATCACCCAAGCGGAAACGCTTACGTATTGTTGTCTTTCGTTCTGTAAGCAAAGATATCATAATTATGTATCTCCTTTCAAACGCACCGTCCACTCAGGCAGAGGTTGGTGAAATAACTAAGTAAGAAGTTCCACTGCAAAAGATAAACTCCGAAACGCGAAAAACGCTCCAGAATGTATGACCGGCTTAGGTAGCTCCGCCCATCAACGTGGGTCATTTGAAGATAAAACGTTCAGAATGGAGTTTCAATATATTCAAAGTTGTCGTGAATTCGCCCTTCATTATGATTATCGCGCTTCTGAATGTCTATTTACACCAAAATCCGCAATTCAGCTCATTATCTTGAGACCACCCACGTTGATGGGCGGAGCCACCTTAGCCGCTTCAACTTCTGGAGCAATTTTCTCGATTCGGAAGTCATCTTTTGCAGCGATATTTGGATGGTTACCTAGATACTGTATCCGCTATCATAAAGCTTAATCTCAGAATCCTCATTCTGGATGGGTCTGAAAAAAAAGTAGGAAACACTTCAAAAGTAGTTCTGCAGATTATATAGCGTATTTTTTGATGAAAAAGCTGGCTTAGCCGCAGTGAAAAAAAAACTAACCAGCTCAATGACTTGATATAGCTCCATTTTGAAAAGGACATCGACAGCTTCCCCAACATTACCTTTGGGTCGAACAATGTCTGGACCTCTTTTACGCATCAATGCTGCCATCAATTGCTGCGAGACTGTGATGTCCTGGTCTGAACGCAGTTGTACGAAAACTTGAATGATGGGACCATTAAAGTCTTTTCATAAGATTAACCATACCATGATCAAAGTCTACTTCCGCAAAGGCGCAAGCAAAGAGGCACGTAAGGGTAAGGCCCTTCATTTCTGGAATGTAGAGAAAAAGGATTTTAAAAGGTAAAGGCAACAGATAAAGCAATAGAGAATTTTTTGGAGATCCGGCAAGCAACATCCTGCAATCGAATGTGTGAATCAAATACTATGGGCACAACGTCATGTCTCATATCCTCACATAGTGTTTTTCTATAATCTAGTTCCTAGACGCGACAGAGCTCGCAAGCTCATCATAAATAATTATATCTAAACAAATTATGTAAGAGATTGCTGTGGGAAGGCCGTTTTCTCAGAAAAAAAAGCGCTTATTGTCAGTTATTTATTTGAGTAAGTTACTGGATTCCAGCAAGAAAATATCTAACAATGTGAAATTTCTCTAAAGCAGGCCTTATTACACGAACTTTATTTTGCATTTATAGTGAATTCACAGAAAATCGACATGGTATTGGTATGCAGATTGGTTTCTAAAAATTAGAGCACAATAATTTTAGGGGTTTTGACGTGAACGCTTGAGTGCACTCTTCAACCATGAATCAGCTTCCAAGAAATTTACATTTTTGCGCAATTTTTTGCTGAAACATTTCTCAATTCCCTTTCTTCATTCAGTTCCTAAGAAACTTGAACTTCCGCTTAACTTTTTCTTTGAAACATTTCTCAGATCCCTATCTTCGTTCTTTCCTATGTTTGCGAATCATATCATGATATCATACATGGACGCCTGAACTTTCGTGACCTCATTTTGAAACCCCGCTTATCATTAAACATGCAACTTTTGGGCCCCCTTTTACTTTTGTACTGTTTTTTCTTCTTCGTTAATACTACAGACGCAAGAGACGATGATCAAGGATATTATGAGTTTCTTAAGGATGCAATAAATGTAAGTTGATTTTTCCTCACAGAGATGATTGCAGAAATAATGTAATTTATAGAACTCCCTATTTTTCCTTGAGCTAAGATTACTTATTATCCAAATCAAACAAGTACGCTATTCGCACCACGTCTTATGTTATTTTCGAAGAATTTCACAGCTTTTGTTCCGCAAATAGAGATGGTTATTGTGAAATCCTCGCTGCGTCTACTTAGATCCGCTTGTTTGTGTTTTGAATCAAATCAAAGGAAAATAGATCCAAAACTCCAAAAAAAGAATGTAAAATTTGAATTAGATATCAGAGTAAGAAAAACAAGTTTTTTTATGAACAAAAATAGAACGAATCGGGAGCATACAATACCACTCTCAGAATGTGCAAAATTGCCGTAAATGTCGCTGAATCCCTGGTATTTCGCGGAACTCCGCGACATTCCCGGAATTCCGCGACGTTCTGGGAATCGCTACATTCATAAAATTTTTGCACATTCTAAGAATGGTATTGTATATGTTACGCATCTTCTAAACTAAACTAAATTTTCTTCTCATGGGAATAAAAAAAATTACTCTAAATTGTTGCAGAAAGATGAGGAGATACGAAGAGCAGAGAAGAAGAATTATCTGCATCATTTGCCAGGAGGAATCGTGCCACAATCGTATAAATTACCAGGTAGAAAAATTATTTTATGTGTCTTTCAAAAAGGTTATGCACAGTAATTTATATTATATCAAAATGGAAGAAATTTGATCAATGAGTTTGCTAACCTGTTTATTGAATCTTTGACTGATTGCTTTTCTTAGAAGCTCCGAAAAATATTTGCTGTATCCCGGTATATGTGCTTAACGTACATCTTACCCATAAGATTCTTTTTTATATCATCTGACAGAAAATCTATTAAAACCGCTTACTTTCTGTTCCGAATAACACCCCCCCCCCTCTGGGAAAAAGGATAGGATGCATTGACTACAAAATTGATGCTGATCTTGCCTTATCTTGCCTTACAGATAAAAACTGCAGTTGAGAGACAAGAAATGAGAAAAAATGATTGAAGTTTCGAAAAAATGTCCTGTAAACTACCACTAATTTAGGTGATTATGTGCCTTTACCCGGTCGTAGCACGAACACAGACTATTGGCCCCTATACCCAATGGCGAACCAATACATGGCGGCAGTTACATTGGATACTTCAAAAGCAAGGGTGATTTTCTTTTATTTACAAAAAAGCGGATTCCAAATGACTTTATAGTAAATCAGACAATCTGCGATTTTTTTATCAGTGCCTTTTTCTTGTGACAGGCATAAAACATTTTTACGCGATCATGAGTTTCAGAAGTTTGATCTAGTTGGAGGCGATGCCCATATAAGCTAAGCGCATGCGCGCGCGGCGCGAGCGGCTCTGTGCCGCGTGTATGCAGCTTACGCGTCGCTCTTTCATATCTCATTTTCCTTTCAATTTAGCACACTGGAATCGATCTAAATGTACCGGTACCATGGTGGGGCTTCCTCGATATGAATGGACATATTATCGAAAGATATCAGGTTTGATTTTTATGCAATACGAGCTATTTGCTTGCTACAAATTATCTTCTTTAAAAATTGCTCATCTTTTTGTTTAGGACAAATGGGCAAAAGTTGGTTACACGAATAATCCCATAAATATGCTGGGATTGAGCAAACAACAGCTTGTACGATTAATGTCGGACCCATCTCTGCACTGGAATAGACGTAAGCAGTTGAGACCTTGAAGGCAGCGTCTTGTGGGTGGTGAGATTTTGGTGCTGTATAACAGTGGGGCCCCTGGATATAATCACCCAGTCCCGCTGCAATAGCTGAATTCTGAAGATAGAAATTCGCTCCAAAAGGTGGGAGCGGCCATGGTGGCTCCGCCCATCAACGTGGGTGGTTCGAAGATAATAAACTCGAAAGCTGTGAGGATAGTCAAAGATGTCGAGAATCTGAAGATCACAAGGGACGGATTTACCCTCGATACATTGCAGCCCATGTTTCTACTTTATAGAACACCCGCTTTGATGGCGGAGCCGCCTTGGCCGCTTTTACTTCCTGGAGCAGTTCTCTCGCATTGTAATTCTTCTTTCGCAGGGAGACTTGGGGCGATTGCTTAGTTAGAGGTCCTACTATTATAAGCATCACCAAGCATATGGATGGACGCTGCCTTCAAACTCTTCTCGATCACTGGAAAAAAGCCAGTCACATTTTCTTATCCTAGCTGGCTAGAGTCAAGATTTTTCTCTCTACAGATTTCCGTTAACGAACGAAGAATCCATGCAGTCAATTGATTTTATGGATATTGATATTATGGTGCCCCTGCGGTGACTGCAACATTTGCGCGGAAATGAATGTCTTTTGTGACTGACGGCAACTTGCTTGCAGCTTGCGCGTAAAAAATAGCTATAGAGTGCACATTGCCGTGTTTACGAGCAAATGCAGTCAGGAAAAGACGTAGACTGTAAGTTTTAGAAGGCTCTACTTGAATTCAATCTTGAAAGTAGCGAACTACGAAGAACAAACGCTTGGTGTGCACAAAAACATTTTGTATCTGTAATGTCAGTCGGTCTTGTCGGAAGTAAAGTTCATAACAGGCGTTCACGCTTTCTCCAAAAAAACCCAATGTGATTGTTGCTCGAGAAAATAAGTAGAAAGAAAGGAAATAGATAGTAATTCGTCAAAGGGATCCGCATGAAAGTTGATTCGGCACGAATGGCGCTCAAGCAATTTGAGACCAATTAGTTGCTTATTTTCGCTTGGCTAGCTTCACACGAATTGTATTACTAAATTGCAATCATAATGGATAAGATTAAATTCACCAAAAGCATTTAATGTTGTTCATTTTTGGATGTTTTTCATAAATAGAAACGATCCCAAAGAATAAAGGGAGCCTGTGGTTCTGGTCACCAACACGCTGTGCAACTGCAGCCTTCCCCCACCCCCTTGATCCTCTGCCTCAAAAATTATGTGCATATCAAATGCAATCAACATTCCTCGAATAATGAATTATGAACTGCTTCAGAGCAACAACCAAATCTGCCGATTGCGATACTTCCACGGAGCTACACGCCTCAGTCATGTAAACCACCTTTTTGCAATCCTTATCACTCAAGCGTCGGAGTTGGTGTAAGTGACAGGATTCCAACGTCAAAAAAATTAAAAAAAGGCTCTTAAAAATCCAAATAAAATTCTATGCTTTGAACTCTTTAATATAATGAAACAGCTAAGCGAGCAAAGGTACAGTAAAGTAGATTTGTGGCTAATACAGGCCCTTGCGGTACCAAGAATTTGCGGTAAAATTTGCGCGTGAATAGCTACGCTTGAAATGCCGGCATTTTGCGCGCAGTTTGCCGGCAATATTGGCGTATTTATTTGCTCACTCGCAACTTTTACCGCAAAGTCTTGGCACCGCAAGTGCAGTAAATTTATAGCAAATCTGTTGAACTGTAGTCGTTCGCAACTCTTAAGAAACATTCTGAAAAAACTTTTATTACCTGACATGGACTTAGAAAATGATGTGATTGGTGCAAATGCGCATTAGACACCTCATCTTTTTGCGCAAACGTTGAAATGACAGTCACAATAGTTTCCTCCGAGTCGTATTGGAGGATACAAAAACTAATATAAAAATTATTGTAGAGTGCTGAATTAATTACCAAATACAAAAAATAGTCTAATGTCAGCAAAAAACTACTAAAGCATTACCATCCACACCCACCATTTTCTTGTTGCTGCTGCCATTTGACGAGAGCATCAACATCCCTTCCAATTGTGCCACAACTAAATGGTATGGAATGGTGTGGATGGAGTCGCTGTTGCAGTTCTCACTACTCCTTTCAACTGGAGTGGGGGCAACTAATGCATTACCATCCACACCATTTCTTGTTGCTGCAACATTTGACGATAGTATCAACATCCCTTCCAATTGTAGTGTGCCACAACTAAATGGTATGGAATGGTGTGGATGGAGTCGCTGTTGCAGTTCTCACTACTCCTTTCAACTGGAGTGGGGGCAACTAATGCATTACCATCCACACCATTTCTTGTTGATGCAACATGACGAGAGCATCAACATCCCTTCCAATTGTAGTGTGCCACAACTAAATGGTATGGAATGGTGTGGATGGTGTCGCTGTTGCAGTTCTCACTACTCCTTTCAACTGGAGTGGGGGCAACTAATGCATTACCATCCACACCATTTCTTGTTGCTGCAACATTTGACGAGAGTATCAACATCCCTTGTCCTATGTTATAGTTCATATTATGTTTGTTCTTTAGTTTCGTGGCTTTCTACTCTAAGTGGCTGTTGTTTGAAATAATTTCTCCAAATAATGATAGTTTCTGTTTCTGTCTCGAACTCAGTGTTTTTTCTCTACTAAGACTGCTTAGGCTCTCTGTTGTAGTAGACGCACCTCATGTGCATTAAATAAATAAATAAATGTTGGGAAAACTTCGCTTCGCAAGCGGCATTCAAGCTAGATTTCAAAAATGAAGTTGTTTGTCGGGTGTTGGGTAAAGCCCTACTTGCAGGGTCTTAATGTCACTCCATATTATGTTCTTGATTCTCTGATGCAAGACAAAAATTGAATCAACTTTTACTGAAATTTTTAAGGTAGAGGCCAACGTCCACATTGAAGACGGAATTGAAGGTGAATTAGATCTACCAGTACCGATCAGCAAAGAAATTGGCTATCGACTACCGATTGATGGAAATATTCATTACGGTTAGTGGCTTCAGCAAAAATCAAACAATGAAAACATTAAGAATGGCAGCACTGAGAGTGAGCAACATCTCAAGGCTAACCCCGGGGATTTCACTTATGACTTTACATGACAGCAATGGCCGAACAACAAAAAATGAAATGTTTGCAGCTGCTCTGATTTTCTCTAAAAAATGAAGTTTGATGGGGCTAGAATAACGACTTGAGAACCGAGTGAAAAATGCTAGTTCATATTTTCTTATGGAATCATTTATTGCGTTTCATCTGGTAGACGTAGAGCCATCATTGTTTTAAAGCTTTTCAAAATCTAGCTATAAATAAAATTATAGAAAGTTGAAAATAGCTACAAAATCATTCTACAATTATTAAATCCAAACCACTTGAGATTTAATAGATATTTTCACGACAAAGCTTCATGACAAATTTTTGTGCGTTTATATCACTCCTTTCCATCCTACTGCCTTAAAACAGCTCGCATATCTCACCTAACATTTTGGCAAGAGGCCAGGTGTACAAGATTTCTTTCCAGATTTTGACGACATTTCCGTCACCTATGGTCAAAATGCTCGACCAGTTGATCCTCTCGTTTTCGCACCTGATCAGCCCCTAAATAGAGCAAAGAGAAGCTTGAGGCTCTTCTTGGCAGCAAATCAAGATACAGATGATTTCCATAAGGATATAAATCGATATTTGTGAGCAGTAACTAATCGACTTCTTTTTTAGCTATGATGTCATTCGATGACTGCTAAACATAAGTTCGATCAAACGCATACATTTCACACATTTACTAATGAATTATTGTTTTTGCTAATAAAAGATTAGAGAAGTTGTTTGAAAATTTCCACCAGGTCTTAGAGTTTGCTTACGCTGTTCAACGCGCAATAACTTTCACAATGATACCGCTGATTTGAAACAAAGCCGACAAGTGACATGATAGCGGCATGACCCATTTTGATAGGGCGGATTTCGTGGAAAGCGAAATGAAGTTCTGAATTTCATTTTCGCCCAGTTGCTTTGTTTCGTAAAGAATAATTTTCGCCTGCGATTTTTTCTCAAAATCCTGCTCACGTGTGTGTACTTCGCATATGCCAAAATAGACGCGTTTTCTAGCTTGTTTGAAGTAGTGCCCTACATAGCTTTGATAAACTCTGTCACCCGGGGCCAAAATCAACACTTTTTCAAACTCTACAGATCTCATAAATCACATTACTGTACTAGTTGATTTGTCTGCACTAGAACATCCCTTTAACAGAATGAGGCTAACTTTTGAACACAGCAAAAAAAAATTATTCCATTGTATCCTGTCCGAATCCCCTGAGACCACCGTTCTATCGTTACCTAATTTGATTGTTTAATAGTTTATCATATCACGTCGTCCCGAAAGTTCTTTGGACGATACATATTTGGAAAATCGTAACTTCTGCAGTCTTGACTTGACCAATTCGCTTTCTGTTATTTTCATTAAATAAATAAAAATAATTGCGTGTAGCAGTATCCTTGCAAGCTTTTAAGCGCTGATTGGAGAGATGAAAATGAGAAGAAAAAAGACTACTCTCGAGCTCTAACAAAGTTAGGTCGTCAAAAAATGCAATGTTGCAGAAAAATTTGAAACTCTCATGGCAAGTTTATGACCTGCTCTACCAGACTAAAAAAACTTTGTGCTGTTCAAACACATCTCTGTGAAAAGCTATGAATTTCCAGTTTTTGAGAAAAGACTCCAAACTTATTTTGTCGCATTTCTTGAGAATCATAAATTTTCACATTGACGTCAGAACAGCGCCATCTTTTTCGGTTTGATAGAGCATAAAGTTTTCGTACTGACAATTTTGAATTTTCCTGCAACGTTCAAGGTTTTTGGCGACCTGACTTAAAATGATCAAAGCTCGCGTGGTCTTCTTTTCCCCTTTCATATCAGCAGATAGTCATTAGTAGCTTCGCAAGGACATTATCACAAAGCGGAAGACTCTAGCAAAAGATTCTAGCAAAAGTAAAAAGAAGCGATTTCATTTATTCAGCGAGAAGTTATGATTTTTCAAAAATGATACGACAGAAGTTGGAACCACCTTATATTTATAAATTTCAAGAAAAGCCGGAGAATGCGATGGCATCTCCTAATGATACCGTACATGACTTCATATCTAAATGCTTATGGAGGTGACACTAGTTCGGAAGGAGAGTTGCTTTCCGATGTTATAAAGAGGCAGTCGCAAATGAAGGAAGAAGAAAGCGAGGAGAGAGAAAGTGAAATTAACGAAGAAAATCAGAAGACGAGGAAGGACGAAAATACTGTGTACGACTTTCTATACAAGAGATTACAACAAGAAGCGGAAGGCAAACCAAAAAGAAAGCGACTCACGCCGAACGTTTATATGATACCAGGTGAGGTCTACCAACTTGGAAAAAATAACAAAAAAGTAATTACTACAGTCCTTTGGGGCTTTTCGTAGGCGTTCCATCGCACGCAGAGACGGGTCGCCACAGGACCCTCCGGCGTTTCTCGGATTAAACGCCCTTTCGTCCCTTTAACCGCCTGCTGTCTCTTACCAACATGTACTGTCTTAGCCTCGCGAAACGACGTCCAATCTTTGCGCGCGATGAATTGCCTACACTTATATGCTTGTACTTACTTTTTAGGATCTTACAAAAATTTTCCTTGCAGGACCACAAGAACCTCTTCCTGGTCGTTCCCATTTTGGTGACTATTGGCCGGTCTTCCCCTTTCATAATCAATTTTCTGGTGGCCTCGATTTGGATCCAGCAATATCTCGGGTATGAAAATCCCCGTAAAATCAAAAGACAAATTTTCCCTACGATGAGCAATTCCGAGGTGCCATGTGTGAACACCTACGGCTAGGTGTGAAGTCTCGCACCTCGGCGTTTAGTATACTGTAGGAGGTTAGATTGGGGGGGGGGGTGGAGGGGAGGGTAGATGGACTTTTCATACGATTGCTTCCCAAACTAACCTGATCTTTTGGCAACGATTCAATAAGATATGGCACTATGCCAGATTTGGCCCTGCTGCTCCATACCAAAGAATGAAGCATCTAGAATAGCTTATGCAGCACAGCGAAATCAGAAAAAGAGCAGTTCAAAAGCTGTACGAGAAAAATAACCTTTAAGTTGCAGGGTCTGGTCTTCCCTACCCCAACCCCCAATTTAAAAGTGAAATCCATCTGACATAAATCTCACAGCGGGAAATTTTCCGAAATTCCGAAATTATTGCATTTTTTGCCTTGCTTCCGCTTCAGTATCATAGAAGAAACAAGCTAAAACTGAAAGCAAAATTCTTGCAGTAACTGAGTCTTCACTAACAAATCCTTCTTACAGAATTTTTCACTGCTCTTGGATCTAATCGGTTTTTTTTGCGAAAAAGTCACATGCTGTCCATCCGATTTTCTAGCATAACCTGTAAGTGTTACTTCCCCATGAGGGTTGAGAAAATAGGACACTTGGAACGGACTTCATTACCAGGCTTATCCAATTATTTACGAAAATGATTGCGCTGTGGTCTAACAGCCTTTACTACGATTCCTTTAAAGTTAAAGTGTGACCAAGTAAAGAAGTTCTGCGATGGCCGGAAGTGCCCAATAGAAGTATTTGCAAACTGCTCAAAAGAAGATTGAAAAAATTGTAGATATTTAAATATGTCTCACAAATATCTTGTACATTTTCGATAATTAAGATTTTTCTGTCCATTGTAATCGATAAGTGGTTGCGAAGTAGGTGTGAGGTAGGTGCGAAGACTAGGTGCGAAGTCCTCGATCGTATGAAAAGTCCCCCTCCCCTCAAAAGAAATGTGAAAGAAATTACATAGTATAAATTACTGTCAATTGGCGCCATTTTACACGACGTTTTTGGCGCGGTTCACCGGTGAGTCACGTCAGTGTGATTCGGTAATCGTAGTTAAAGGCAGTGTCCAAGCAAAAAGTCGATCACGAGATTTTGTGCTTACCTGGGCCTATTCGCTATGCTGAATCCGAAAATCAACACTGGAGAGCGCGAAGATGACGAAAAAAGGCTCTAACGGAGGAGGGAAATTGCAGGTGGGAGGGGCTGTTCACATAGTGGCGTCACTCTTCCAGCTTCACGGGCGGTCTTCTCGCTTTCGCTAGACGCCCTGACATCACTACCAGCCGACTGCGAAACGCATGACATAAGATCGAAACCGAGAAGATCGCTCCTAAAGCCTGGGAGCTTCCCTCCTGCGTTATGGCCTTTTTTCGCCGTTTTCGCGCTCTCCAATGTGGTTTGCCGGATTCAGCATGGCGAATAGGTCCGGGTAAGCACAAAATCTCAAAATCGACTTTTTGCTTGGACACTGCCTTTAACGACCGAAAAAGGTCTGCTTGAACATCGTGGTCACTGAGTCACATTGAATTTTTTTTTACTTAGCGATTAATTCTCTTAATTGAACATTTAGCACATCGGAGGAGATCTGAATATCGCTGTTCCTTCGTGGGGTATGATGGATATATACGGTCGCTTCTTCAACAGGTAGGTCAAATCACTCCAAAAAATAATTCTTCTTCACGTCCTCTACTAACAGAATTCATGACACCACGACCAAATTTGGTTACTTAAACTATCCTGTGAATATGTTGGATCTGGAAAAAGAAGATTTTGTACGACTTATGAGCGATCCGTCGCTATCGCACAACAGAAGTGAGTGAATATCCTCATGTCATTTGTAATTTTAATGTGTGAGTCTGCACACTATGCGCGACAACCAACGACACCCTTTCAGTAATTTCCATTGAAACCTAATCAAAACATATTCACACAAATCAAAATAGACAAGGAAACAACAAGAAATCACTAAACACCGGTTCCTCGTCCTAAAATTCGTCAAGTAAAGCGCAGGGTGTGCAATACATATAAAGTTACGAATGACTCGATCATACTTACTAACGGAAATTTTTTTGAACTTTTTTTAATGATTTTCTTGATACAGACGCTCATCCTCGTCTGCCACTTGGAAAACTTGCGAGGACATATGTGCCCATCAACTGTAAGCCACCGATGTGCAATCCATATCATATGAACTTTGGATTTGGAGTAAGTGTATAGTCTTTGATCGAAACCATAAGAATGAAAAAAGAAATTTACGTTATTTACTGAACCATGGTTACGCAAATCTAGGAAATCTTTGCTGAATGAAGTAATCACGCATTTTTTGTAGCGACAATTACGTCGCAACAGAGTTCAAGGAGTTTAAGGGAAGTTTAAGACATATTTCATATTTCTAGACAGCCAAGGTTCAGTGATGTAATTCATCTTCCCAAAAATAGTCTAAGAAGTTATAAAATTCCGACGGTTGTAACAATAAGTAGGTCAAGATGGAAATTCTGTCATATTTCTTTTTTTGAGAATTGCGGCTATATTTAAGGAAAAGCGAAATATTTCCAAACGAATGACCTCTCATTCAGAAATTTCTCAATTTTCGAACAACCCAAGTTTTTTCTTTTCTCTGATTTTTCTTTCTTCTGCAGATGGAGCACGATTATGGAGGTAACGATGGTGTTGAAGGTGACATTGATGTGCCAATACCAATTTCAAAAGGTGTCGCTTACAGATTCCCCTTCTCTGGAAAATATTATGGATGTAAGACCTTTTTATCAATTGCTTTTTGTAAAGATATCTTATCATGGTCTCTTTTCAGTCAGGGACAATATCACAGTTACCTATGGACACAATATTGCTCCTGTTGATCCATTTGCAAGTCTTTTCGACTATCAAAAGCATCGCGATCCTGCCTTGGCTATTCCACGAGCAAGGAGGGACGTTTCTTCATCCAAGAAGGTAATGAATCGAAATAAAAACCCAAATTGAGGACTTCAATTCCATGGTGTATAACAGCGGGGCCCCTAACTAAATAATCGCCCAAGTCCAGCTGCAACAAAAGATGTGAATTCCGAGGCGGGAAAATCGCTCCAGAAATTAGAAGGAGCTTGGGTGGCTCCGCCCATTCACATGGGTGTCTGAAGATAAAAAATTAAAAGCGCGGGCTTCAAATATCTAGGGATTCCGCCCTTAATTATGATTCACAAATTCTAAACACTTCTATTTACCCTGAAGCCCACTTTCAAGTTCATTATCTTCAGACCACCCACGCGGAGGCGGAGCCACCTTGGTCGCTTCTACCTTCTGGAGCAATTTTCTCCCCTCCTAATTCATATTTTGCAGGAGGACTTGGGTGATCACTTATGGGCCCCGCTATTACAGCGCATCAGACGGTGCCTTTAAATCTACAATAACTGCTAAAGATAATCTAATCTAGGTTTGGCTGAATGAACCAGCTGCCGATACATACGAGGAACATTTGGAATCTGGTGGTAGAGTTGATTTCGCAAACAGCCTTAACTCACAACGACATCAACAAATTCCTTATCAAATAGCCTTTCGACGAAACTTTGCAGAAGTTCCATTCACAGAAATTGATCTCGGCTACGACATTTACCAAAATCAGATGGTTCAAAATAATTTGGCGATGTTGTGGCAGCATATGCTTCTCAATTCAAATTATCTTTACGAACCTCCTCTGGATATTTATTATCACGAACCTACTTATCTTTACTGACTCTTGCCTGATATATATTAAGATTTACGAAATACTCCTAATAAATCTTTTCTGCTACAAACTCGCTAGAGTAGACACGGAGAACTATATGACCAAAACGTAGTGCAAACTTCTTACCCTTCAGTACCCGGCCATATTTGAGCAACATTTTGATCTCACTAAACGAGCAAGACCCATATGTCTTTACCAGTTAAGTAGCAGACAGTGGCGTACCGAGGGGGGGGGGGGGGCGGGGGGGGGCGCGCGCCCCCCCCCCGAGAATGGGTCGCGAAATTTTTGGAAGTTACTTATAAGGGTTGTAAAAACGTGCAAATGACTTGTTTATACTTGTAAATAATTAAAATAATTTTTAAAAATTTTTAAAAATTCAAATTAGCCTTGTAAAAAAATTTTTTTCGGGGGCGTGGCTGACGCCACGCCCCCTTTTTCCAGATTTTAGGGGTTGGGGACCCGCAAAAATTTTAAGAAGCCCCCCCTAAAATTTTTTCGGAGTGCGTGGCTAACGCCACGCACCTTCATTTGAAAAAATTTTTTGTCGCGCCCCCCCCCCCCCCCGAGCGGAAATCCTGGGTACGCCACTGGTAGCAGAATACCATGCGAACAATAACATTTCGGACTACATTGCAGGATGGCATCACGATGTGCAGTGCTGTGTCGTATGACATGTTATTAACATGTAAAATCTAGTTTATGTATTAGTGAAATGTTACTCGACGAACATGTAAGCTATACGCCGTATCACATAGTGGCCTTCAGGCTCAAAACTTGAGTTTCGATCAAGACGTAATCTGCAACGAATCCGTACCAACGCACACCTTCAACCCCGGGTCAGGGTTGAAGTAGTCGTGGGTAGCGGAGGAGTGCAGTGTTATTCTTGATAGCACAAATGGTACAGGCAAACCGATGGTAGGGTTTGATGCCCTACCAAATGGTAGTTTAAGTTACCATGTTGTTTTGCTAAGGCATATTTGTGGCAAGAAACTGCAATGAACAACCACTGGTAAAGTTCAACAAGACAGAAGGTTATCCCATCAAATTAAATTTTTAGGGAACCTCATATTATACTGTTATCGTATATCCCTTTTCTTTAAATGCTGTCGGTTTTCTTAGTTTTACGGCTACAAAGACTGCAACAGCTGTCCCGATTATAGCGAATTATATGTTGTATCTGTATATATGTTAAGTGCTCATTTTTATTGAGCTGTTTTTTTTTTACCGGATCCATCTACCTACTTCCAACTGAGCTAAAAAAATTATCACATTGAGTCGATCTAGAGCATTTTTCAATTTTTGCGTTAGGCAAACATTAGAGCGGAATTGAACCCAACTCAGCGCCGGACAGATATTCGCAGTGGATGGAAATTCTAGCCCATCCAGATATATTGATCAACACTTGCAAAAATAGATAACGCGCTCCAAGTAAACTACCCATACAGCTGGCGGGAACAAGCATATAATCGTAAAAATTGAAAGTAGCAGAGGCGGATCCGTTTCACGCTTGTTTATTCAACAACCTCTATTAGGGGCTAGGGCCTTAGATAATAAACGCGGTGTTTGACAGCATTCTTGCTGGGAATAATAGACTTAAACCTAAAACCTCTGTAAGGCAAGTTTTATGACATTCGCGAAATGCATGGAATATCTCTGCCTTGGGAAAATTTCTGCACTTCCGTTCTCTTTTTCGCTGATAGACAAATTTACCGCAAAAGAGCGTTTATAGCTAATTCCTTTCACGATTTGATGCTTCACTTTGAAATTCAATAGACAGACGGTGTTACACCAACCTTACATACAAATCTCTTTGAATCACTTCGTCTAGAAATGCTATAAGAGAAATCTGTGGCTAAAATAAACATCACCATTTGCCTCAGGGTAAAAAGTTTGTTACTTAGGATGACATTTTGTTTGAAAAAAAAAATGCCTGAGAATGTTTTTTGCTGTAACCGTCTTATTCCCACCAAAGTTCTCGCTCGAGTTTTTGAATGTCTATTTAGCTTTTAGACCTATTCAGACTCAAAAAGTCGAGTTGGAAGATCCGCAGAGATGTCTTTAATCATACATGCAGCAAATCTTTTGCTTTTTATTGCATATGCGAATGTAAACAACAACCTGAATTACGAATCTTCTCGATTCGAGTGTCAAATTTTCTTGATTGCGCTTGTCACACGAACAAAGATAGAACTTTTATCTATTTGTGCATGCAAACAAGACATAATACATGTTCACTAAAAAGTGAAATCAAACTGAGCAAAGTGTGATCAATGGCTACGAAATCGGCAGCGAAGCAGTACGAGAACTCCAGGATTGACATGTTGATTAGTGTTTATAAGGTGGATTCGACGATTAGCTGCTGTCACACGATTGCCCAGTGATGTCTGATATTCAAATGAGGTTAAACAAAAATTATAGAAAGCGATTAGAAGGCACACTTTGTGTGGTAACGAACAGAGCGCAAAAATGAAAGGTTTGTGCTTGCAACTAAAAGAGCGTGAAATCAAATGTAAAGGACGAGATTAGCCTGAGAAAAACGTCGTTGGGGAAGACAAATGAGAAAAACGACAATCAGCAACCAAATGTGTTGTTCGAGCAGCACAGAGTAGTTAACCAAGGACAAGTGTGAGAATAATAGCGAGTATAATGAGCAAAACAACCATAGGTGCTATGACACAAAACAAACAATTCAAGCAACAATCGCGTGGATTCGAGCAGTTCATAGGCGACCAGTTTAGAAAACGTGTCTGTCCTGGCTGAACACTTGTGCTGAAACAATCTTTTTGTTTCCGAAGCCGCTAGCTAGACCTTGTTTGCAACTACTGTATGGCAGATTTAACGTATGATATAGCAAGCACCCTTGCGGTGCTGACAACATTTGCGCGTACAATGCTGAGCGCATTTCTCAGTTTTGCACACTCTACCTTTCTCAAGATGCATCCAGATCTGTTTGTGCTAGCGCCCGGTTAGCACCATGACAACCCTATTGATTGACAAATACGGGGCGCATGTAGTGAGTGAGCCCTGACACGGCTCTGGCACGACGCTAGCACGGCGAGCAACACTGGATGCAGATTTACGCGCAAGTGTTGCGCTGCAAGGATACTATAGCCACCAAATCCACTACACTCTGACTAGCTACTTTTTATAAACATTTTGATAGTATTCATTCACTCCCAAGTAAATTTTCTCAAACTTTTCTCAAACAAAACGCTCAAAAACCAAAATAATATTGTGGCATTAGTAAAGCGACTAGTCGCCCATGGCATCCGTTCGTTCACTTTTGAGTGAAAGACGTTCTGTGAAAGCAAGCTCTGCTGGCTTCTGACATCTGCCACAGACCATGCATTCCAACAAGTTGCAGACCGTGTCAGTTGACCGTGCTGACAGAGCTCACCGGCCACATAACATGCTCCACCCCATTTTTGGCGCGTACAAGCGTGCGTGCTCTCCGCTGTTACCATGATATTTCCAATATATCTAACCGCTTCGCCAAGATGAAAGCTCTAAGGCACAATGTTGATTATGGAATAGGTTCTGAGGTGATTTTGGAATATCCGCTTACAAATTTCGCTGTGTGTTTCTACAAAGGCTCACAAAATCACATCAGACCTCTGCAAAAAAGACGCAGATACTTTTTTCGAACATCCAGTGGATATAAAGTAATACAGACTGATTAGTAAAATGGTGCATGGAACATGTATAGTAAGTTTCAACTCAGTTTAGGCGGAAATTGGACTGGCGGGAGTACTCGCAACGATTCGCGCCGCTTTGCAGTCTACGTCTCTTCAAGTCTAGTCTAAGTCGCTGAATCAGCGGCGGCGCGGACGCGCTGCTCCACTCGAAGTGTTTCGCCTACTCCGATTGAAAAAGACTGTAGTCTCACATCAGTTCATTTTTACAGTAACTCAACATTGGCATCTTGTGTGCAAATGAACATTAACGCAATCAAAAGGCAGTTTATCAAAAGCTGCGAAGGCAAAGCCACACCGACAAACGCGTGCTGCAAAGCTGTTATTTTTCTCAAGTTTTTGTTCTTCCTTACGACTTGGCAAAGCAAATGAACTGCGTTCTCGTATTTGCGGATGATGACGACCGGCAGCTTCTCCTTTTTACTTGTTATCGCTGGTTATTTGAGAACGAAGTCAGATGCGAAAAAGTGCATAGATACATATGCACAATAGTATTAAAGCGATCACAAGCGGTATACACGTGCATAGCCAGAATTTCACTTTCCGTTTAGGGTTTTCGCGTCCGAAGTAAGATGAAGGATTGCGTAATCTCACATCAGGCCTGTAATTGTGAAAACTGATTTATCGCAATTATCTGAAAAGCTCTCTTCAAAAATTCGTTTAGTTTTTCCTACCCAGATAACATCATCCTGAATGTGAGAACTTCTACAGATAGATTCTGGGTATGAACAAAACTTGTACAGCTCGCTTGTTTTGCTTGTTAACTATCGAAATAATGTTTGGACACGCAGTTCAAAAAGAAGTATATGACCGTTATTCCCTTTTCTAGATTTCGGTGTAAAAAGCCACTTTGAAAATCAGCCCAACACTACTAACATTCAAAAAAAAAACCTGAGCGCCCTCTCCCGGGAAATCTTTGTCACCAAAGTCGAGTTTTTTCAAGCAAAAATTCCATTAGCCAAGAATATACTCAAAGATTCTCTTAGATCGGTAGTTTCCATAATGAGAATCTTGATTATCCGAAGAATAATTATGTTTAGCAGAATCAACTTTAAGTAGAATTATGCTTCTTTATCTTCATCAAAAAAAACTTGGATTGCAGGACTATCTCACCTACATATATGGAAGCAGCTTGAGTCCAAAAAAGAAATAGTTCTTGTCAAAAAAAGTTCATAAATCCTTTTATATACAGGGCTCGGGACAGCTGGCACCGTGTCAAGCTAGATATCGTTTTTGGGACAAAAAGCGAAGGGCAATCGTTTTTGTGGCCGAAAAGACACAAAAATTGCGACGTTTTTTTAGTCGAAGTTTCGTTTTTTTGAGAGCTTTTTTACGTCTAGGGTTTAGGGTCAAAGGAAACTTCGTTTTGTTTCCCTCAAAGAATATTACTTGCTACTATTCTCTGGCACAAGAATTCACAAAGCTGACGCAGCATGATGTTAGCTCATTTATAGAGTGCGGATATTTTTTCCAAATTCGAACAAGACGATTAAATTCGTCTTTGTGTTTTTGCCATAAGACTTGATGAACTTTATCGATTTACTCATTCAAATAGATTTTTATGTCTACTTTCTACTTGCTTACTACAGTCCCATATAACCGCAACACCAAAAAGTCAAAATCCTCCATTAATGTCAACTCTCAACATGGTTGCGGAAAACCAGCTACACCTATGGTACCAAGAAAGCTTTTGCGCACTTTATCATCCAAAGAAAATTAAGGTTGTGGTAAGACTGCGAGATGCCTTACCTCGTTGTTTTAGACGTCTTTTTCTTCGTGGTAAATCGAGGTTCTTGCCCATCCTTCAGCAAACGTGTATCACCTCCTGCGTACTCAACATCTGAACACACAATTTTAAGTATACTGTAGCTACCGTACTCTCAAATGATGATACTGCATCTAGACATCGAACTACTTATCTAGCCGTCGGACTTACGACAAGTGCCGGCTATGGCTACAGGGAAGGTCTGCTAGTTTTGTTAACTACAGGGTTACACCTTCTGCAATACACAGGTTAAGGAAGCTAAATTACTACCGCTGTCACCTCCGTAATTGGCACCACTTAATAAAGTCGACTGAGCTGCTGCTGGAGGTGGAGCTGGGATTGGAATGACAGGGGCCGGTGAGATTTGAGAACCATCTGTAAATAGGAACTAGATTAGGGACATTTGAAGTTTTTAGATAAGGTAAGTGTGATTAAGTACACGGAGGAGGTGCTGCTCGTTGTTGCTGCTCCTTACCCGGCTCTCCCTCCCTGTATTTCCCATAATGGTGAGCTCGGTACCTCTCCTCAATCAGTTGAGGACGTGGTTGCGTCTAAAATAAAGTTAGCAGTACTTCAGCCGTGTCATTATGGAGATAGATTAGGATAGTAGAACGAACGATTAATGTAGTTCCTGCGGTGCGGACATTTGCCGACAACATTTGCGCGTAAACCTATTGCTATGCCTGTGGTGTTGGCAGTTTGCGCGCGCAAATTGGCTGCAAAGCGCACATTTTCAAGTTTTGCGCCTTCTGACAATTCTTTCACTTGCAAACGTTATCGAAAATGTGGGCACCGTTGGGACACTACTCCAACTCTCCGATTTAAGAACCGTGTAGTGAAGTCATCTGTAGCTTAATAAATGTGAATGCACACCGCGCGCGATGCTTACATATGAATGGTCACCAAAACCGGTCAAACTAAAGTCGTGAAATACCGCGCGTTTTGTGCAGTGCACGTATTAACGTTCTGAATGGCTCTACAGATAATCAATCTTAACGTGATTGTGGTTAGAAATCTCTATTCCGAACTTGGCAGAAACCGAATAAACTTTTACATTCACAAAGAAGAACTACTTTACGTTTATTTTTTAGCAACTCATGGATATTGCAGACATTCTGCGTTCTAATAGAGTTTTGTCATGTTTCCAACGTACTAATTTTATCATTTCCTCGATAATCACATTTATTACAAAGCAATGATGAGTGTTCTTACGAAAAAAAAAGGCTCTGAAGAAAATGATCGGCAAAATCAGCTACTTAAATTAGAATCAGCTAAACAAATTGGGGATATTTTATATTTGGCGGTATCTTAGTAGCTTCAAATAGAATCTATTTCAATTTTTGAGTGAAATGGAAAAGTCGAATGACTTTCTATCATTTCTTTGATAGAAGAGTTGCAAAAAATTCCGAGTGCGTGGAGAAGCAGATTTACGACCTCATAAAAACAAAAAAGTGCCAATGTAAACATATCCAAACATTCTTTTGGGGAAAAAACGCTTATTTCTATGGATGCATTGTTGAGATCAGAGTACAATCGAATAGGGCTGGAGGCTTGAAAAATTCTTCTGCGTTGCCAACAACATTTGCGCGTAAACAATCAATTTTGATTTGCTTTCGCGCAAATGTTGTCATCACCGCAAAGGCACTACATCAAACATTGAGTTCACTAACCTACAAGTTACAAAAGGAGCATTCATCTGACAGGACATTCTTGCAAACGGATTTTCTCATATTAAATTTTCAAACAGGCGCACTTCTCGAAAATAATCACAAAACTCACATGATCCACTTTTCGAATAATTGTCGTCTCCTCACCCCAATCGTCGCCATAATCAGATGCATTGTACTGACCACCACCACCACTTGTCTGGACTATGAATATTTCATACAAGTACGGGATATTCTATATTCTACGAGCTAGCTCCACTATCACCTCACTACCACTATGCTTCTTGCCCATAAGGACACGTACCATGATTGGAGACTTATTCGATCGCATCTGTTCTGGTATCATAAATTCGTTTCTCTCGAGAGCTGAAATACGGTAGATTTTGGACAGCGTTCGAGCTAGAATAGTCTGATCCCAGACAAAGGCGGATGTCCACGTTAGCGAAACGCAAGCGAGTGCGGCGCGCGGTGCGGGCAGACAATAGTCCCAGAACCCACCTCGTGCCTCGCCACGCGATTTGGCAATTTTTGTCTTCATATCTGACACCTCGTAGACCATAATTGCACAGCGCGTATAATTTTTGTAGAATGACATCCCTATACTTTGAAAATGCAAAATGTGCTTGCAGTGAGTCGTGAACTACTGGAAGATTGCCAAATCGCTTGTCACTAGGCGTCGAGGTATGCCTGCCTTAGGGACCCGTCACTTCGCCGAGAAAAGCGCAAAAGCGTCAAAAAAGCCCAAAAAAGCCCGAAAAAGCCCAAAAAAGCCAGATAAAGCCCCAAAGCGCCAGAAAGAGCCGGAACGCAGAAACGAACCTTACAATTCTGGCGTTATTTTGATGTGCAGACGACAGAAAATGAACCAAAAAGACTCGTTTGCGAAACCAACGACTTTCTTTAGCGCCAAAACGTGCGGACGGAAGGGGATGTTCCGGCTCTTTCTGGCTTTTTTGGGCTTCTTTGGGCGCTTTTGGGCTTTTTCGGGCTCATTTGGGCAATTTTGAGCGCTTTTGGGCTTTACTCGGCCAAGTATGACGGGTCACCTAGTCTTCGCACATCGCGCGCCTCAATCGATGCAGGCGCGCGTGCACCGACGCGGCCGCGTCCGCTTCGCGAACATAAATCACGCTCCTTCCTCCGGAACTAGACTATGAGGAAACTGACTTTCATCATGATAAACACCACGAGTATCTACATTTGCTACTGTTTCACCATATTGTGGCCGACCTTTGCCGGGATAGGATGCTCGGTCAACATCGGTTCTGGTTTTTCTGAAAATCAATTAAATTTTGGCTTCATGTACGGTGCAGAATAAACCCAACCTTAGCATATCCTCCCGCTCTCGCATTGTTGCCTCTGAGCTCGCTTGTAAGTCTCGACCATCACGACTACTTCCTTTATGAATAAGAGCATAAGCCGGCTGCGCGGTTTCCGTTCGCATCGCGCCATTTTCGCCCGCGATTGCGCCCAGCGATTTCTGATCGCGCCTGCCCGTAGCCGCCGTCTGATCACTCGCATAGCCATTCACTGTCTCGTACCTCCTGCCATCGTCCTGCTCCGTCGGCACTTCGTCATACCGTCTGGTATTGTCATCTGCCACCACATCATACCTTGTGCCATAGCCCTGCTCTGTCGATGGCACTTCGTCATATCTTCTGACGTTGGTACCGTAGTCCGAACGCTGTCGCACCTCGACACTTCCTGCGGCTCCGTATCGCTCTGTTGCTCCTTGTCTAGAAGGATCGAATGTCGAGAACTGTGGAGTACGTACTAGTGGTCCTGGAATAGTGTATTGTGTGAGCGTGTCAATGCGGTCCACTGATCTCGTTCGTGGACTAGGGACAGGCTGGGATGGAGATGAAACGTTTGTGGCATTTTTCTGGTACAGGCCGATATGTTCGGGCGGTGAAGGAAAGTCGATTAGGGTCTCTTTTTTGGGTTGTGCATGTACCATCTGTACATCCACAATTTGATTGGGGCGGATCTCGTGCCAGGAATGGCGCGCCGGATTTGCGGATTCTCTATACGGGTCGATTGGCGGGTAGTACGGATCGTCAATGGTAGTCTCGCGGGATTTTCTTAGGGTGGTCCTGGAATATAGATAAGTCGCATATGTCTAGTAGATTTTTCGCTTAACATGCTTGCGGTGCCGAGATTGGGCGGCCAATTTGCGCGTGAACAATACTTACGCCTGAAATGCCGCCACTTGCGCGCGCAAAATACCGGCATTACTGGCGTGGCTAGTTGTTAACGCGCAAATTTAGTCGCCCAATTTCGGCGCCGCAAGCACACCATATTAAGGGAAGAATCTACCAAAGTTTTGCTTACTAAGAAGATATGCAGACACCAAAAAGCTAAAACTGCTCACCCTATGACAGCAGGTCCGTTTGTTCTCGTAGCAGTATAGGGCATAGTTGGAGCACCAGGTGGTGATTCCGCCGGCTTCACTTCACTTCCTGACAAGTGATTCGGCACGTTACTGTATCGATTTATGTCCTGAATCATAGCGAATCACTGAGATACTGGAGAGTCATACAAAGGATTTGTTCTAATCGCTGAGTAGTTCAAAAATGAAAACTCCGACTTAGAAGTGTCAAAAAAATCGAAGTCGTTATGCGAACGAAATATCTGTGTTGATAAATGAACGTGAGAACTGTTGTAAATAAATCTCTCTTTGAAAAATCGCTCTCACATCACCTGTGGATTACAGTCATGCAAATGGAATGTGTCCATATTTGTTGAAATTTAAGCTCACAAAAACACCACCCCAGTAAATAAACATGTCCCACTATACTCAAACGTTACCCGATAGTTTACATCAATGCGGCATACCAAAAGATTTGTCCCATTTCCGCTCACAGAATTCGATTAAGTTGTTCTAGAAGAATTTATATACAAATCCCGGGAATTCCGTGAAACCGCGATTTCTGCGCATCTCGCAAAATCCCGCAAATATCGCGAAAACCGGAAATCTCGTAAGATTTAACACATTCCATTGTCAAAACTGTCAAATTGTCAAATTTTTAAACATCAGCCACATCTAATGAGTGGCAAAAATCCAGAGAAAGGAAACAGACACCTGGCAAACATAAGGCGACAGTGGAACATTATGTTATGGGTATTTTGGCAAAAAATGTTATGTAAACAAGTACTGGAATTGTTATATAAGCTACTTGGATGACAGCCAGCTAGTTCCTTGCAACGACATGATAACATCCTATGGAAAAGCAAGTAAAAACAAACGTGGGTGAGAAGATAACATAGTGTGTCAGAAGAATTTCAACAAGGTCTGATAATGGCACTTCAAAACACAAGAACATCATATGACGAGTGGGAGTGTGAAAAAATAAAAAGGGAAAAAAAAGAAATGAAAAAGTCTACTAACCCGAATGCCAGCGTTGGTTAGAGTAGAGGGTTTGTCTTGTGTTCGCGTGTAGGTTGAGGGTGTTGTTTGCTGAGCATGATCAGACGCTGGCACAGAGCCAAGTTGAGCGATAAGACCCGTTGAACGAGGTGAAGTAGCCGGTGTCCGTTCGTCCGCATATTCTCGAGGCACTTCGTCGTTGTAGTGACCGGGCGGGAATTTTCTATCCGTCAAATTCTCGCTGGAAATTTTTCGCGAGTAACTTTCGGTGACAATTTTTTCGCTTGTTGAGACAATTTTAGAGCTGAGGCCAGATGTGTCACGGTGCAGCGGAACAGTTGTTGTTTTAGGAGCTGTGGAAGGTGGTGGAGTAGAAGCATTCGGACGGGAAGGTGGTGTAGAAGAAGTGGAAGAAGGTGGAGGGGCTGGTGGTGCTTGAGCAGGACGCAGAGGCGAAGATGCCTTTTCCTGTGAGGTCCTAGACGGATGGGAGTCCTTGCCGTCATGAGAGTCGATGGTGGTGAAGCCAACTCTAGATAGAGCTGGTTCAGCCTTATGGATATGCTTGTATGGATCGTAAGGTCCTTTCGCAGAGGTGCTAGATCCTTTCGGAGCCTTTCCATCCTTGTACGAGTTCAAAATAGTGATTGTCTCAGTGGTCTCAACCTTCTCATCTTCTCCATTGATACCCGCCCCCCTGTCCCCGTTCATCGTGACCAAACTAGGCGGATGCACTATCACATCTTCCTTTGAGTGCACGGACTTTACCAACTTCGTCGTTTTCGTGGTCGTTGTCACCTTATCACCGTCCACGGTTGTGGTCTTCGTCTCCCGAACTTCTTCCCCATTTGGCAATCGACGAATGACTGTTTCTACAGAATTCTGCGATGACGCAGATGATTGCAACGATGGTGACGTCGCTGACGGTGGTTCGTACTCGAACGTTGCAAAAGATGGAGAATCGCCGTATTTGAGACGAGAGAATAGTGCTCCGAAGTTTGCTATGCTCATTTTCCAATAGTTACCGCGTAAATGCTCCTGCAGTGGGTCTTCTGAAATTATGACTTTTAAAAAGCTTAAGAAACCATGCAGCATGGATTGATAACCTTCTGGCCGCTGGAAAATGCAAGAAGTGTTGACCTTGTAGACATCGGCTCTGTCGAGATTGAACCTAAAATGTGAGTGTATCGGAGGTTTCTTAAAGGCCTGTTTCTCTCATTTTCTCACGAACTAGATTACACTGAAAAATTTCAATGAAAAGTTGCAGATGTGAACCTAGAAAATTAAGAAACTAGATAACCCACGAATTGACATGAAGAGCACAATTTAAGCAGTTTACAAATAATTAAACAATCAAATAATAAATAAACAGCGTAAAACTTCACTATTACTTCTCTTAAACATAATTCCATGGGAATTCAAATGGAAGTTTCTAGTTGAAGGGTTCAGCCACAACCATTTTAGTTTCTGGGTGAAAAGGTTTCGATAAGCTTATGGATCTATTTTCTCATTCATAAAATAAATTTCTGGAAAACTGCAAATTATGTGCGTATTGTAAATTCGGATTGCTATTGTATGCATACTGTACGTACTGTACGTACTAAAAATTTTAGTGAGCTAAAGGAAAAATTTATCACTTTTGCAATGGTTTGCCCAAGAATTATGTAGTTCTTGACCAATGACTACTCCTCTTGAAGTTATTTATAACAGCATAACTGTTACATAGAGCCACATTACTACTTGAAAAGCATACTTCGTACACATTATTCGTATTCGTACACAATCATTGATACTAATTAGACAATTTCGAAAATCTTAGAAAAACTTTAGGAGTTACTCTGTTTCCAAAGTAATTACAGCGGTTCATTTGACAACTTTTTTTTACGCAAAAGATATCAAAATCTTGTCATTTTGTTTTACGAAAAGCTTGGGATATGAGAATTTCTAGCAGATTATCGGCAAAAGACAGTTTTCTTCTTTCACGTTTGAGTCCTGATGCGAAGACATACCTTCGCAACATTCCCACTGGTGGTGAAGATCCATCACTTCCAGTAATGAAAACAATCTGTTTTGTTCGTAGATGTTCCGGAAACACTGCCAAAGCCTGTATGTAGTTGAGGATACCGTAACCCCAGCTGATCGATGTATTCTACGGACCTTTTGTAGGTACTCCTCTTCATTGGCGGTCATTCTGTGATATGCAGAAAACACCACACCAATCGCGTCAATCTTCAGTCTTTCGTTGTCTTTCAGCCATTTTGCCAAAATTTCTCGGTTTTCTTCAGCACTGCAAAGAAATTATCAAGAAACTCATCCATCAAATCCAAACCTGCTTACTGAGCTCCACTAGTCGATGGCGTGTCGATGACCACTGGTCGTACATCCATTACAGTATCATTAAAGACGTAGGTGATTATTTGTTTTTCAGGCGTAGTTGAGTCAAATTTCTAGAAGCAAGCATATTTTACTCTTATAAATAAAGTGGACTAAAGTACTGAAACCTCATTAGCAATATGATATCGTGTAGTTTTTTCGAGATCAGCTCCATAGAAGTAGTTGCAAAGGAAGTCGATCAGTGACGATTTACCAACATTTTGAGGGCCGACAAGTAGAATCACTCGTGAGTCTCTTTTTACAGTGTCTGAGATTTAACAATATTTCGAACAAGAAGAAAAATGGGAAAATATATGCTTCATCAAAAACAGAACAAATTTCGAGGATCGAAATTAGAGAATTTTAATGACTTTGAGCCAAATAGAGCAAGAAAAGGTTTAATGAAAGAGCAAAAAATTAACTAAAGATTGGCTTGATTTTGTAGCCCCATTTTTTAGAAAGCTACATCGATAAGAAATTATGAATCGACCAGATTTTCTATCGAACTCTTAGTGGAGTGTATTGGAAATTTTGGAAAGTTGAGAGAGCCATTGTCTTGTAAGCATCGCAAAAATGCAATTTATATAATTTTTTCCTTAAACAAGTTTCTAATGATTTACTAATAAAAAGTACTAAAATTAGCCCTATTCCTTTTACTTGATTTTTTTGATTATGAGAATACAGGTTCAGATTTTTGGATTTTGTTCAAACTCTTGAAAACTTCAAAAACCAGCATGCAAAAAATATGTCATTTTTTCAGTATCTTGCCAATATTATTTCTTCCATATTTTTCTCCAAAAAAACAATTTCCAATGAAGGTTATTGAATTTCTCAACTCTTAGAAAACTGGCTGAAAATCCAATAAAAATTCTGAAAATCTCTTCTCTCAACTCCCCAAAAATGCACTTTTCCAGTTACTTGGAAAGAGCTTCTGAATAACTAATAAATTTAGTGATCATCCTTACCCTCTTCGCTTCCTGCATAGATCGTTCGTGTATTCGTTGGGACTCCGAATGATTCACCTTTGAACTTGTTGGTACGTGGCAATTGTTCGGACAGCGGCGGTGTCACTGACATGCCTCTGGAGGTTTAGCAGCACTTAGCGATTGAGTAAACAAATATAAATCAAAATAATACTGATATGAAGGATTTTTGAAGAGAAGCGGAATCTACGAGAGGAGACTAGTGAGGAAAAATCTCAAAAAAAGGAAAAACTTCCTGTTTAGCAGACTTACAAGAACTTAAAGTAGCGTGATTATTATTCAAACAAAAAACATCTGCGTTGTGCATTCTGAATTGTTTACGAGTGAAACGCGTCTAGAACTTCAAAAACTCCCAAAACATCGTTCATATTTCGAGTGTTGACTATTATGGAACGGCGATTCGTGCAGTTCGTGTCGAATTGTTAAGCCCGAATATTACAAATGCCCGTGGCCGAAAGTCGCCGATGGGCCCGAAAGCTTGTGGTCTCAGCTTTCGCGATTAGTGATAATATGAACATACGAACATCACAGTTGACGCAGAATATCCCAAGAATTGTAGAATTTTATTCTCAGGAAGATAAACATAGGAAAAGAACGACTTCAGCAGAGTAAAACCCAAATGTTCACTAACGCTACAAGTGCAGTAGAAAAATACTTTTTGAAGTCGGTGAAGGAGCGGTCAAGCAGTGAGGATGTAATACTAATGGAATATTGGTTGAAAATGATTGAAGAGAATTTTCTGGGATAAATTTCTTGAAAATTTTACAATTCGAAAACTAATCTATTGATTTGAAGTAATTCGATAAATTTAGTTCAAAATAATAAAGTCCTTGAGAGCTGTGGCACCTACGGGGGTACAAAATTTTTATATTATGTGATATTCAATTAAGTGTAGAGGAACCCAAGAAAGATCGTTAGGGGTGGAATTTGCCATTTCACTCTCTCATCATCTTTTTCTTCATTTTAAATCATAGAAACAACAAGGAAAACGTATATTTGAATATAATGTGTCAGGTAAATGACTGACGCATGTGGGGAGCTTTCAGAATGTTTTGGGACGGAAATACGATTTTTGACCCTATTTTCGTTTCAATTACTATCAGATTTTAGCTTCTCTCGCGTGAAATACAATTCAAACGGGCGCTTTATAGCCATTTTGTAGAGCTTGCTTTACTTGAATGCGAATAAAGAAGTCTCCCTTGATTTTCCCTAGATTCCACGAAGTCCTCCTTTGACCCTGAACCATACCATAATCGTTTAAAAAACCCTTGAAAAACGGAACGTCGACTAAAAAAAACGTCGCATTTTTCGGCGCAAAAACGATATCCGTTTTGCTTTTTGTCACAAAAACGATATCCAGCTTGCTTATAAGCCATCTGTGCCGAGTCCTGGCTTTGTCGAATTGTTATCCAAGCCGCACTAATTTGAAGGAAAGAGATAGAAATGAGATGGTTTTGGCAAAATCGGAAAAAATTATAAGGCAGACTTACACCTAGTTCCAGATAAATGAATTGAAGTCCTTTGAAAGTCGCAAAATGTGATATTCAGCGTTCATAAATTTACAGCACACACAAACGATATCACATTTTGTTCACATCTAGAGCTTTACGGTAATTCTATAGAAACTTTCTGTTTGTAAGGTATAACACTTAATATCGCCTTGCTGCCTGAATGTGTACGGAAAGTCGGGCGCAGTGATGCATCATAATTCAGTTTTTAATCAAAGAGAGTATGCACGAAATGTTATCTGAAACATTAAAGACCGTGCTTTTTTTGATAAAATTTTCGAACATTTTGAACTCGAACAAGCTTTTCAAAATAATTTTCGACTGGAGGTGCGTAGGTTAGTCTCGCACTCCGGAAACTTCTTGGGATGCTTTTCAAAATTTTTTTTGCGACCCTAGAACTCAAAGACTTTGGCAAAACGGAATTTTCTCACGGGAGTCTAAGTTTAAAATTGTAGAAATTGTTTCAATTATTTACAAGCACAAGCAACTTACTTGCGCATTTTTATAACTCGTGTAAATAACTTTCAAAAATTTCGCGACCCATTCTCGGATTAGGGGTGGGAAAGTTTTTCCATCATTTCTGGTTTGAAAATCGTATAAAATTATAGAACAGTTTAAATGATTCTGAAAAAATACATAGCACTACGATATTTTGTCTTCAGTGAGTGAATTTCGTGGTACTTTTTGATGGTCATGTGAAACGCCCCCAATATCTTTCAAAAATCATGTTCGTTTTTTGACAGAATTTCAGAACTTTTCAGAACTGGAAATAATAAAAGTGATTAACTATTTAGTCTTATTCGGAATTCTATTATAATTTGAAAATCCTAATGGCTTCCGTGATTTTTGGAGTTTTTCACTTACGCTAATCAGCCATCAATTATGAATCAACTGTGTGAAAAGTGATAATCACTTTAAACTGATGAGGTAAAAAGGGAAGAAAAAAAGCAGTGCAATTGAGAGTATTGAGTTGCTGAAAATTTTGTCGGTTTTTCTGATCGCTCACCAAAATTCACAAAACACTGACCGATGAACGGCTTAGCTAGCCCCTATTCAAAACTTTATTCCATTTCTGTTATTAACAATCTCTGTTTGACCTAAGCAGCTCAGCAATGTTATTGCCATGGCTTTCGAGCAGTTCTACACCAAATTTTCCCTGTTCCAAAAATTTCTGATAGTCTTCGAAAAGTGCTGGTAGCTGCCATGTAAAAGAATCCTTTGCCTACACTAGACTCATTTTAGGATACATGGATCAAGTTTTTGGAGCCTGCAAAAATTATTTGTTCAGGGAAAATCTGGGTTTCAGCATGTTTAGCGTCTAGGAGCAGGGAAAATTTCAAAAAGCTGACGCTTCAGAGCAAGTCAAACTTGATTTGCAGAAATGATGATGACAATCAAGCTTTGGCTCACAAAAACTTTAGAATCTATCGTGTTTTTGCTGCACTCCAAAAATCGAATGCTCAAAAAGAAATTTTTTAGAAGATCTATGTAAACAGCAGATCAGAAGAATGTAAAAGCACTATGTACCATATGGTTCGTTCTATTTGGAAAATATCTGTACCTTTTCAAAACTATGGAATAAAATTCTGAAAATTAGTCGAACTTTGAGCAGATAGAAATGAGCATTGAGAATTTTGGCAGTTATCTATGCATGCTAAAAATTATGTTGCAAAAGCCTAACTGTCAGAAAGGAAAGGAAAAGCGGCATCGAATGCATGTTTGAACTTGTACAAGGTTCCATAGTCGTTTGAAACGATAAAACTTCCTTTAGTTTGATAATTGTCCACGGAAAAAATCAAAAGGCGCGAAATTCAAAAAAGTTCGTTGTAAAAAAAACTACCACTAGAACAGATATATCAGAGAGTAAAAGCTAGGTTTTCAATGACATAGATTCAGAATGAAACAAAGCGAATCATCATGTTAGACATCACTTAGCTTGGAGAATGACAGCCATCATAAACATAACCCGGAAACAAAAAGTCACTGTCGTAAACATAGGATGCAAGAAAATCATTGTTTGCAGATCATTCCTCTATATTTATTTTGGGAACTGGCGCTGAAACGAAAAATGTCTCTTTAGCAAAACAATTTCCATCAAATTTTTCTCTATCACAAGCATTTAGCGCCTGTGGCGTATTCAAATAAATAAATAAATAAATAAATTTAAAAATCTTTCCTGGCTAGATTATTTTGTTCATCGGCAAACCTTCTAACAGGATTTACCGTTCAAATTAAGACAAATATTTTCCAAATCCACAAAGCACAATTCAGTGTGAGCAAAAACAAGGATAATTTTAGCTATTTACGATTTATGGTTTTTATGTGATCAATGCACTAATTCGTCACTGGCTAGCTTCCATCAAATTCCTTTATATAGGACCAAGAAAATTTGCAAAATATTTCCATTTGCTTACTCCAAGACCTACTGATAGGAGAGGGAAGTTTTTACAGAGCTCCTCTTGAAAATCTTTTTATCCAGAAATATAAGAAGGTCATTGAGACGTTTGAATTATGCGATAGCTGGGATGAAAGATGCAAAATTGTAAAATACTGCAGCTATGAATTTTTCGTGTAAAAACTTTGACAAAAAGTCTACTGAGCTGATTGAAGATCAAAGTTAGCAACTAAGACATTTCAGATTTTATGATTACCAAAATTTGACGTGGTCAATGTCTTCGCAAATTCCAATCACTATCATGAGCACCTTTTTCTTCAAAATTTTCTTCGCTCCAACTCCCCACCATAGAAATTAGAAAACTGCACCAAGTGTTTGTTTACCCCACAATGCAAGCAACATTGAGTAACGGCAGGATTGTAACAATAAGTGTCAAGAGTCGAAACTGTCGTGTTTTGAAGGTAAACGAAGAGGGGGAGGGGGGGGGGAGACTGGGAAGGGGTTAAAAGCGACTGCTGCAAACATATTTACGGGACTGAAACAGTGCAAATCGATTGCACGAAAACAATAATTCTTTTTTTAGACGAAACAGCAATAGCAATAATACATCAGCTGCTTATTGCTGACGGGATTGTAAACTATTTATATGCAAAAATTCTTGCACAATCAAACATAGTGCAAATTAGCATTAGCTACTGTATTACATATTACACTTGTTACAGAATTTCTAGCTCACATATAAATGCGATCTTTCGAAAAAAAATTTCCTAAAAATGAGAATATATGTGATCCAGAGCTTTTGGCTCCAGTTAATGTCCTTTACTGAGTTTAGTAGAATTTTCACCCAAAACTAAAGGACAAAACAGAGCTTCTTATGAAATCTTAGCAAATAAATGCATTATCATTAGAGCTTTCGAAAGTTCGTCAAATACGCTTTATTTTCTTGAAAGAAACGCTATCTTAAAAATTATTAAACCCAGGGCTCGGCACAGTTGGCACCGGGTCAAGCTGGATATCGTTTTTGGAGCGGAAAGCAAAGGGGATATCGTTTTTGCGGGTTAGATGCCGCTATTTGCTAGAATGCCAAAGGCACGCTGCCGGCAAGTCGCCAGCGGAGTGCCCCTGGTACAAACAAAAGCCTTTTTTACAAAACGCAATTATATGACACCAAATTTGGTGTGTGCATGCGCGTTGGGGGACTCGAACTATGGCCAGAAATTTATGAAAACTTATGTGAATGAAAGCTCTGCTGAACTTTTTTCTGAATTAGCTGGGTGCCAGCTCAGCTGGCACCGACACGTTGCTCACATAAGTTTTCATACTTTTTTACATAAAATGTATCTGCACAGTAAAAGGTTACATATAGAACAAAAACAATTCCATAATGTTTTCTTTTCGGCGTTTTATAGCCGTCTGGAATTTTCTCGGTTTGCTCCGCAGTCGAAAAATCTGCTCCAATCAAAAAGCGCTCCGTATGCAAATGCAAAACACGTCAAAGGAGACTTCGTACGAAGCTTTTGAGATAAAAGGGGACTTCGTTTCAGAATTTCCCTGGTGCCAGCTCGTGCCGAGCCCTGATTAAACCCCACTGTCCATTTTGCGAAATTCAAATCATAGTGTTCTGATGTTGATAAATTGATAATTCTAAATAATTACGTAAATTTTGATAAATAATAGCGTTGATATTGTTAATTTATTCTTGGAAAGCAAATCCTCTGTTCTATGAAAAAACTAAATTTTTGTAATATCTACGACCAAATCATTGCGATTTTTCATCAACCGCTGTTTTTTGGACAATTCAAACCATGTGGCTGTCAATTTTAGTGCATAAAAATGTTACTTCTAATTATATCAGCTTTATCATGATTCTATATTTGTTCAAAGGCTCAGATTACACGTAGTTTCATAATCGCATTATGCATTCAGGAGTCAAAAAGGAAAGACATATCTATAGTCATTGCGGTTTCCGGAGATTTGAGAAAGAGAAAAAACAAGATTCTGAAAGTTTGCACGTTCCATATGTCTGAAATTTGCAAACTCACCAAGAGATTTACTTTTGATTTTTCAATTGTAAAATAAAAGTGTTCTACCTTTATAGCACTGTTTTCAGTTCACTCGCACACATTTGAGTAAAGTTGCTAATTGGATAAAGAAAAAGGTATAATGGTTCGTGATAGATCCAACAAAAATCTTAAAAAACAGGGAATAGTGTTTGTATAGCGGATAGTGTGACAGATGTATTGTGCTGATTGTTTTGTAGAAAAAAATATTCATGCTATGATAGAATGAAAAACTCGTGTGAAAGAGGTACTTATATGGCTGGCAAAATATTTTCAATTTGTTTTGAAAATCACTTGCAACCAAAAAATTTTCTACGTCTCCTTTCCAAAACTTAAGTTTTTATTTCTTACGAGTAAACGGCGGAGTTGTCACAACGCACATAGAATTTTATTCGATTAGAGTTCGCTACAAATTTACACTAATTTCGTCTAATTGTAAGTGCCAAAATTAAGAAACAGTCAGGCAGCACCGTTTATGCGCAGAATTTTGCATAAATCACTATTGTCCAGAATCTTGTTCCGCAACCCTCTTCTATTCACCACAATTATTTTTGTTTTCTTTTACAACTTTAGATAAAATTTTGAAAAATAAAAAGGAGAGAGAGAGTTTGAGCAAGCTTCATAAAGTCATGCCGGACACAGTGATGCTGCGATCACTGTCGCTGAGCAATATTTACAAAGCATTGACTAACATGGCAACTCTCACGTCGTCTCCAGCCTGAACACATGTGTCAATCAAGAAAAATTTCCCGGTTTTAACTGCTTTGATATTACTCAGTACGAGACGAAGGGAATTGAAAATTCTGGGGGAATATACGAGTTTTTGTAACTCACTGAGTAATGTAGGTACCGGACCCAACAAGAAATATCAAATTTTTGCTTTGACTAGTGAACCAGTAATCTAGTGCTAGATTGCAAGAGCGTTCGCTTCGGGACCCACCGCGGTTTCCCGCCACCTGATATTTTTTGAATTGGCGTTACGATTCTTTATATATTATACAGGGTAAAACTCTATTCCCATGTAACTCGTCGAAAAACCGTCTGCGACAGTTTTTTCCGTCCGTCGCGACGTATTTGTCATATAAAACTCGTCCTTGTAACATAATTTGCAGTATGTTTGGTATGACCAATATGATAATCTAATATGATATTTAACAATATGATATCTATGATAAATTGTGACTTCAACCTGTAAGAACAATAAGTATAAAATTATGCATCCCCGCTCCACTTTCCGTTCCTAATATGGCCCTCGCTCTCTTTAACCATGATAAAATAAACTGTAATTGTTCCTAGATCAAAAATTTATCTAATGTCTAACATAGGAAGAATCGTTAGCTCTTCAAAAATCTCTAAGTAGCGGAAAACCGCGGTGGGTATAACTTTCAAAAAGAATATGCCCCTATCGTATCGTTCATTATGAACGAAGAATTTTTCCGCTGCCAATAATGTACCATCGTTACACGTCCTATGACAGCGTAGCAGAACAAATGTTGCTCATAAATTTCTAGGAAAGGTTTTGACGAGCGTTATAAAAACTAAATTGACTTCCTTTGTGCTTTGGTCACGTAAAAAACTAAAGTAATGACTTTTTGGAAAAGGATTAGTTCGTGCTAGAGAGGAGGGTGGTCAGAAATTGGAGATTTTAAGAGTCTATGAGCAAGAAAAAGATAATTTTTTGTGCACAATTTGGCTTAGGCCCCATGGGCAACTACCCCCTCCCTGAAATTTCAATTAATTTTCCCCTATTTATAATCTTCTCAGTATTTGAGAGCATGTCATCTTTTGTCAGAAAGAAATTTTTTATATTCAAAACTACGTATTCCAACTTTTTTCAAAGCAACTAAACTCTTTCGATTGTCCTTCTATTTACCAAAAGTGAAAATAGACAACTACTATCCTTTTCCCCAATGTTTTGCTCGTCGTCCACACAAAATCTTTTGTAAACATTCTGAATGCGTCAAAACAACATGCCGTGAGATTTTTTAGTTTATCTTCCTTAGAAAAACAAAATATAATCGCAGAAAACAAAGATCTAGACAAGGAAATGGCAAGATTTTGCAGGCAAAGTGTATAATGCACTAAAAAAATGTCGAAAAAACTACAGTCTGTCAATAGTGGGATTCTAAAATGCGGCATGACAGAAATGAGGGACTTTTTGTTATTGTAGGTGAAAAAAAAGGAGAGATGGCAGATAACGCTAACGTATCGCGACGCGACGCGATTCTGCGTCTGAAACTGGAAATGTCACGATTTTACGATAACAATGCAATTATGCGTACTTGTGCGAGTAGAAAACAGTAAGAGCATGTTGTTTTTCGTAACAAGAAAGTTTGCGGTGAAATTTCGAAAAATTTCCGACTGTTGTATCGTTTATCAACCCTCGCCTATGCTATCGCAAACACCACACACGAGCATTGCGATAACGCGCTGCCCAGCGATGGCGCGAATTCGTCACGATTAGCATTGATTCGCCAACGACGAATCGCTATAATAGTCACAAGTGGACCATTTGGCAGTTGCTGTTGTTAGTTACTTAGGGGGTGGGGGGGGGAGAAAAAATGGAGTGAGGGGTAGATTGAAGTGATAAGGAAGTGAAAAAAATGAGAATGACGCTCGGGCAGAGAGGCGCGTCAACAACGGGAACAGAACGTACCTTCGAAACACCATTGTGACACATGCGAATCGGGATCGAAGAGGGTCGTCGACTTCTGAAACAGGAGATATTTTATCAAATTTTTCTAGGCTGAAATGAGCTGAAAAATAGACGAACAATAAATAGTAGTAAATTCAAAATCGAAGATTAAGTTTAAGACAAGTTATACAGTCCCAGAAAAGTTCACAATAATTCTGGAAAAATATAAAAATCCTCAAGAAAAATCAAAATCACAACATTTAGATCGGAAAAGCCACCGAATCCTGGAGGGTTTCAAACAAGTGATTTTGAAAGAAATACAAAAAAATTCCTTAATATTTTATATCCGAAAAAAGTTCCGTCCTAAAGGCTTGCCGGGTTCCGAAGGAATTCAAGGAATTTGACTTGAAAAAGAGAAAATTTCGAAACCTTTACCTAGAGTTTGACTTTAATCTATAATCAAATGAATCAGCACTGCTGCTTGAAGGGGCAGATTACAAAGTTATCACTACACAGTATTTGGTGAGAAACTTCAGAAAAAACATTGAAAAAGCAATAATAAGCTTTGCTACCCCTGATCTTTGAAAGCCTCTCATTTGGTGGAAACTTTTCACAATTATAAGGTTGGGCTTCCTTGGCTGCCTTTGGAGAAAACGAATTAATATTTGATAGGACGGAAAGGATCGAGATAAAACAAATTTGATTAATTTATAGCTTGATAAATGATGCTATTGCTGTTCGTGCAGAAATTTTCACAAGAACAAAATCAATATTCATTATTCACCGCTAGCTCCCTATTTTTCGCTTAACTGTGGGGAAATTAATAGGGAATTAAAATCATTGATAGCAGGCCAGGGCTACATATTACAACAAGAAAACTCGGCTAATTAGCAAACATTACACGTTTAACATGATAAAACCATGCGATCACGTCTGATCAGATTAACAATCGCATCTGTCACTGATTCATTTCCCTATCCATTGTGGCCTGTATTACTGGATGATTCTAGGATATAATATTTATAAAGTTAATGAACCTTGACATATTCAAGGACATGGACATCGAAGTGAACATATTCAAAATGATGGATTAAAATCTAGCTGCGTAGTGGAAATCAGGTTTGTCAGAGTGGATTTATAAATGGGTTAGTATGTACTTGTTGTGAGTACTGATATTTTCTGGAAAATCTAAAAGAAAAAATATTAGCAAATTTTGAGCAGATAACGCTGAATTGTATTTTTACCATTCATTCACCTTTTAAGGCAAAATTGAAATTTAAAAAATATACTAGTGAACAGTTCTCAAAGGAGTTAGTTGCAGGTGCGATCGCTTCAGGACCAGCTCGGTTTCCCCCTATCTGGTGATTTTTGAGTGCAGCTTACGATTCTTTAAATATTTGATAGATTAGATATTGAGATCATTACTTTATTATTATACAAAATATACAAAAAAACAAAGAGTTAAACACCGTACAATTTACGGTCAGGGTAAAAAAATCAAATAAATAGTGTAAAGTAAGGTGATGCAGAACAACAAATAATCGTGTTGGCGGAAATATTTTGGTAAATAAGCTTATCAATTAATTTGGAGTATTTCTATTGGATAGCCTTTATAAATAGCTTATACGAATGTAAAGTTGGGACCACTGCGATATGAAAATAAATTCAGAAAATTAGTTTTTTTTCAAAGGGGGAATAATTAGAAAGATATCGTGCAAATAACAATTTCAACAGAAAGCATATTTAGGCAGATTTGGAAAAGTTCTAGTAGAAATCAGCCCGATTATACATATTGTAAACTTGTTCTCTACGAGAATTGCCGAATCTCGCTCCTATCAGACAAGTTTCACGAATCAACTCGTTAAGAACTGATAACGAAGATGTTTCTTTGTGACTGATTGATAAGACAAAATTTTTACATGTCATAACCTCAAGTAGTTGAAAAGAAAGATTTGCATTTGAAAAAAATCACATTTCTCAAGGAATTAGTGCAAAGTAACGCCCACGCAGGGGGTAAAGAAGCTTAGAAGCTTACTTTTACGTGGGTGAATTTAAGGCGTCTTTGTGGCTCCCTGGCAAAAGTGAATATAAGAATAATAAAGTTCTGAAAATTGCCCCGGCACAAAAAGTGGAACTATTGTTTGCTACGGAACATCTAACCAACTTACTTGCCGCCACACCCCTCATCAGGTTCTTTACAAAGTTTTAAATCGTGCAAATAACATCACAAGACTGCAGTCACAATGTCACAATAAGAGACCGTTGCAGCAAATTTAATAACTCTAAAACAGGAATTTTTCCATGAAATTTTCTTGTGTCTGGCACTCCCTTCCCCCTCCCTTCGAATTCCCCTATTCCATCTAACAATTCTGGCCTGTTGCTATGAAAATTGAAAAGTTCTTGCGATCATAAAACAACGAGAATATATTCCATAAGGTCTTCGAAAATGATGATTCAATAATAATGATGAAATAATAATGACAGAAATTTTAATACTAATAATATTAGGTTGTCAAGAAAATTGATAAATGATATTGATGCTTGCGCCCCAAGTTTATTCCATAGGAAATTTTAAAAAAGCTGAAAAGTTACAACTGCTGAATGAGAAAATTGGGTCTCCGTCCAAAAAGTTTCTAAGGACCTTCCACTCGCTACTTCTATGTAATCGATATTAGACATTTACACATAAAGTTGCTGTATTTTTTTTTCGTGACTAAACTGAGAAATCGAGAAACTTTGTGTTTTTCTCAATGCAATGCTATTCTGACAAAAATGATGTTAAACTGCAAGCCTTTGCAGGACTGTTTTTACCCCTTTTTCGGGTGCAAGTTCCCGAGAATTATCAAACTTAGCTCTCCCTTTCTGGGCTTTACCACTAAAAACGAGACTCCTCGAAAACTAAAGCTTGAAAAGGCAGTTCACAATTATAGTCACAAAGTATGTCAAAACGGCCCAACACTGTCCTGAGAAAAACACGAAAATTTTCGATTTTTTAGTCTCTTGTGAGGGAAAAAAAGCAACTTTATATGTGAATGTCTGATGTCGATAGCATAGGAATGTGCCGGTGGGAGGTTCGTAAAAACTTTTTAGGCGAAGATTCATTTTTTCGATTTTTGACCAATTAGAAGAATTCAGATTTCGATTATTCTCGTCACTATCGTTATTCGTGTGCCTCGCTTGCTTTGGAATGCTCAGAAATATTTGAAGACTTTGATAGATTATAAGAAAGGTGGAGCAATTAGCGCCGCCCGGGCAGAGTAATTAGCGCTAGGGCGAAGCGGTTCGAAGGGTATACACCCATACAGTACCCCTCATGCCTTCTTGGACGCCTGGCTGCGAGCCATAGCAAGCAAATGAAAACATTTTTGGACAATCCATAAATAGTGACCCAATGATATATTAATGAAAGTATAGGTTGCTGCATGACGAAGGCGCAATATCTTCGGGCGCGAACGCGGCTTTATTAGCTCCAGAGCGCATAGGCGCAGGATTTGTAACGGTGAGGACAAGCGCGCGTCGCGTTCGCGCCGGCTCAACTAATACTGCTTCTGCGCCTTCGCGATGCAGTAGCCTATATCATCTGTTTTGCTAAATGTGGAACGCAAAAATTTTAAAAAGACTTTTTTCGCCTTTCAATTTCTATTAGATGGATCCAAAGCAAACTGGAGCATAAAAGCACTTGATAAAGTAATCGACCGCCAACACAATGCTAAGCAAGAAACTCTGAGTGCTCATCGCTATAGAGAAAAGTCATTAGAAGGTCACAGAACATACCTATAGACTATTCAAATTAACGAAAAAAACACTTACATGACCGACGCACAGCAAGAGACAAGGCTATAGGTTAAAAATGCACTTCACTACGAGAAATCCTTCGCTGAACGAAAATTTAAATCAGAGTCGTACAAAACAGCGTTTCATTCTTTTTTAGTTGAGAGTCACATCAAGTAATTATAAACTCTTTGGTGCATAGAAGCGATTGAAAGGGTATAGAATCGTTTTTACAGTGATTTGATGAAGTCAGAACAGGTACTTGGATTCGTGTTGTTATTGTCACAGTTAATTTCATCATCCAAGGAATGGTTCAATTTCATTGCATTCTGAAACTCTGCAATCTTTTGGGTTAGAGAAAGAGTTGATTTGCATTGTTCTAGGTCAATTCAAGTCCCGTCGGAAGTTCCGAACTCAAGGAATGAGTGTATGATTCGACTGATTTTTAAGTTCACCTACTTTTAGCAATTTTCCAACAAAAATGGCATGTTTTTACAACAAAAACTGAAGCTACCGAGATCTGGTCTTCCATTGAAAATTAAGATATTTTCAAAATTTGAAGACATAAACAGCAATAAAGCTCGATTTGGCAGAAACATATAAAACAGCTTTGATATGTTCAACAATATAAAAATAGTGAGCCGTTTTTTGATGAAAATATATGACGACAAAAACGGATAGCAGTTACGATTTGAACATAATCAATGAACATTATATAATTCCAGCCACATGCAAACCATACGTAATCGCTTTTACAGCCCTATTAATCCATCTATCACTCTGAAAACTGAACAAGTTGCTCATTTAATCTCAAGATGTTATACTTTTGTTCAAAGCTTTCTTGTGTATTCATTGTTCATATTAATAGCTTGACATGAAGCAAATGAATCTATCTAAGCTTATATCACATCCAGAAGTCTCAATCACGCAAACGATACACAATTTGGAAAAAAGTTCTAGAAAAAAACATAAAAGAGGAGGACCTTGAACTTTTAAAAAAATTTCTATCATGAAAACGACATTCAACAAAATTCTTAAACGTTTTACAAATAACTAAACTACTGCTTATTTCTAATGAATACTGAACTGGTATGGGGCGAGCCTCCGATAACAAGCGTTTTTAATGTGCTGGTAAAAAAACGTAACATAGATAGCTTTAGGATAGAATGCGAATAATTTAGGGTTTTTCGTTGGTTAATAACAAGAATTTGTTGTGCAAAATAATTATGCGTTTATAATGAGAATTCTAAACTTAGGAAAAGGAGGAGAAGATTAACTTGTAAAGCAAAAAAGAGCTTGTAAAAG